ATTTACAACATCCTCCGAGGGTCGTACAAATTATTGAACTCAACCTCTGCTTAAAAAAACTAAAATCACAGCCCATTCATTTGGCCTTTCTTTCATGCTGTGCAAAGAAAAAGAAACCAATCCAGATATCTCACCATGACTCACGTATGCATGCATGTGCACAGTGTGGCATGACCACCAAAACAGAAAGATATGGTCACAAGATGTGTGCAAATGTATTTAGTATCCTATCCATGTGAACATGATTTAAGTGAGGGGGGACCTAACCTCCTCTAGGGGGGTCCGGGGGCATGCTCCCCCGGGAAGATTATTTTTTAAATATTGAAGTTAAAAGCATCAATCTGGTACACTTTGAGAGCAACATTAAGAGATCTATATGGATACATCTCTCAACACCCATATGAAACAGAACTGTAAGCATATTTTTCTTTTTGGATATTTTACAAATCATTCCCCTTTTAAACTATATTCTTGTTGTTTTTAACAACTTTTTTGTTACTGTCATATAGTATTTTATACCTGTTTTTCATTTAGTCTCATTAATAACTATAATGATCATATCAAGGTGTGCCTTAACCTCACTGAGCTGAGGTTATTTGAGCCTCTCAGGAGAGAGCTCTCTTCCACCTGGTTGTAGAAAAGCTCTTTAAAAATTCGTTAGCATAGCTAGCTAACCAGATGCTAATAACAACAGATCGCCACTGTGCTTACAACTAAAGACACAGCCACGCAAACACTGCGGCATGTGTACGGCTCCTTATGGGCACTGCAATATTTGAAGGGCTGGAGCGGCGTTCCGGTGCTCTTTGTCAGCACTCCTTTCAGACGAGACATATACCACGTGAAGACACGTGTTGTGTTCAAGGAACCTGTCCTTGGCCAGGAAAAACAGGTACTCGCTTGTTTAATTATTTTTGCGGTCTAGATTTCTTCTTCTTTTTTGAAGTGAGAAGTTGTCCGTCAGTCGGACATTTGACTTGTTGCTTTCCAATCATTTAAAGGTTTAGAAAAAAACAATAATTGATTCCAATGTACATTATATTTTATGTTTATGAGCATATTCAAAGTGTTACGCATAGGCTTTTGTTTATACTAACTGACTGGCACTTACCAACTACAAATCAGTCAACACAAATCACTGTCAAAGTCTTGTCATTAACATGGCTGTGTGCCTGCAGTGGTCCACTTTGCCAATGGACTGCGAGACAATATTGTCATATCCCCCAGCCTTTAAATAAGCCCTGCTGCAGTGAACACTGACCATGCTCTGTCTTGTTTCTGTCAGTATTGAAAAGTAGCTAAGGACATTAACTAAATAACTGTACATAAGCAGTTAGAGGTTTTTCCCAACTAGATGTATGCGATAGCTGTAGTAGTTACTACTTTTCACAATAAAGTACGTTCACATGGAAAGAGTATAAAATATAGTGCAAAACCACTTACAAAAAAGAAGCCTGTATTTGCTTACCCTAGTTACAAGTTACAAATATTGTTGTGGCATAAAGCAACATTTTAAAATTCCATAGCCTTTTGCATCAGTTGACTCATAGTATCAGAGACACAGATTGAGGCCTAATAGGAAATAAAAGGCTACTCACAATTCCAAAACTTGCTAACTTGGGACTTCCAGTAGTGAAAACCTTTAAAATAAATTCCATCTACTTCGTTTCGTTTTGGAACTACAGAATTACAAGTACAGCACTGCAACGAAGCTGCATACTGTAGGCTAGGTCTAATGACTGATGCCTGTATAAACATTCACTGCACTCTTAACTTTAAAGGTCCCATGTCATGGCCATTTCTACTGATCATAATTCCATTGTTGGGGTCTACTAGAACAGATTTATACTGAGCAATTTTCCAAACTCACATTGGTTTCTCATACAGCATCTCTGTAAAGTATGTGTATTCACCGGTATTCACTCTGTCCTAAACGCAGGGCCGAATTTACCATATACAGTGGGGGACACACATCCCCCCCAATATTCAGATACACTCAAAATGTCCCCCCCCCCCCCCCCCCCCCAATATATAGCCTAACTGATATAAAAAATAAATAAGTGCTATTCTATGACTTTTTTATTTTGGCTATTTGTATACTTGAACATCTTTATTTTCTGTTATTGTGAACTTCACCAAAATTATATATTCGTTTCACATGTAAATTGGTTCCGCCTTTGTTTGTTTATGCATACCTTTATTTTGTACCCGGGGGTGTATTTCGCTGTCGCACGTCCGAGTCCAGCTTCAGTTAGCATTGATGCTCCAAGCAGGTCAGTCATGTTTTAGTCATGCCCTCCATGTTTTAGTCATGCCCTCCATCAGTTCTGTTATCTTTTTCTAGTTAGCCCTAAACTATATTATTTTATTTCATATGGTAATGTTAAAGAACCCTCCGGTTTAGCTTCTTTGTGTAAATAACTTGTAGTTCTGATGTTAAAACGTTTCAGGAATAGTAGCTAGGGGAGTGATTTGTAAAATATGCATAAAGAAAAAGTCAATCTGTTTACAGTTCTGTTTCATATGGATGTTGAGAGATGTATCCATAGATCTCTTAATGTTGCTCTCAAAGTGCACCAGATTGATGCATTTAACTTCAACATTTAAAAAAAATCTTCCCGGGGGAGCATGCCCCCTAGAGGAGGTGAGGTCCACCACCTGCCCACACCCCCCGTCAAATTGTCCCACCCACATTGAGGATGCTTCCTACGCCCATGCATGAGGCACAGTTTCGTGAATATTGTTGTTTTTTGTCCCCACGGGCGGGGGCATGGGGTTTAACAGGTTTTAAAGTATCCCATGTGTATATAGTGAATTTCTATATATGTGCCGTTAGAATGGCAGGAAATTAGTATTCAAATTTGTATCACATTTTTGGTCGCCCCCAATGTTGACTCCATGGTTACGGCCTTGCCTAAACGGCTTGTTGGAGCTCCTGCGAGCCCAGTGTGCTCTGATTGGTCGGGACGTTGCGAGGCTCGTTGCGAGGCTCGTTGCGAGGCTCGTTGCTGCGATCTGCTGCGAGGAGCAGACAGGCTTCCGGGTCGGCAATACAGCGAGAACAAGCTAAACTCATCCTGAGCACACACAAACACTCCGAAGTAAAAACAATAAGTGTGGCTTGATATTGAGTAAGAAAAAGGTTTATAACGCTGTGAGAATGGGTCTGCGGAGAGCATTTCTCCGAGATCCCAACTTAGCAGCCCGAAAAACGTTTACTCATTGAAACAGTCGTGGTAGATACCTTGTTTGTTTTAAACATCATAAATACACAAACAACAATGAATACTTACAGGTTGTGTACCTGAATCTCCCGCTGGTCCAAACAAAGTAGGAACAGCATCGTTCTTCAGTGCCCTACGCTGTACATATCCGGCATGAATCGCTGAAAGGTTTGCGAAGCTTTGTTTCGTGAAATGCTGGCAGAGGGTGTGGCCTCTGGGTATTCACACGTCACAGTATACCAGGAAGTAAACAATGGAAAATGAGAAATCTCCAATGAGGCGTTTTGGGGCAGCATAGTCTGTGTTAGAGTTTTACCCACTACAGGGTGTACTTTGAGGGTTTTGGACACTGCAGACCATTTACATGCATAAAAACCTTCATAACACACAAGGGGACGGGTAATAACCGGAAAAACATGACATGGGCCCTTTAAAACATAACATATCAAAATGTCCGTTTGCAATAACCCGCAAAAAACAATGAACTACGACTTACTGCTGTAATACACAACTTGATAATTTAGTAATCTACTGTACATGTGGTAGGTGGTAGTTTCACACGACACACTCATCATTTGGCTGGTGAAACTAACATAACAAACACATGTAAATCTTATATGTGCATTGTTACATTTACACGTTCATTATACATCTGTGTCATTATTTTCGCATGTTTTAACCACTTTTACTCAGTGAATACAGTAACACTGCAACGTAGCCTCATTTTGTGGGCTCGGTCTTGAGTGAATCGTCTGCCGCTTCTGCGTCTCACCTGTAGGACCCCTGAGCTGCCCTAAGTGCCTGTGTGAGCTTTTCATTGTAACCAAATAAATATTATAGTTGCAATTGCGTGTGAAAACATACCAGAAGATTAAATAAATCAAATTCAACAAAATACAAAAGTGCCGATAGCAAAACAATACAGTTTCCATGTAAATTAAGATTCCGGTGTCAATATCTAGGCCCAACACCTGAGTAAGGTGAAACTAAACTATGGTTGCAGACAAATTGTTCTATATATTTTCTAAACACTATTCCTTAACCTCATGGGGTTCATTTATTAGGACTTAGTAAAAGACAACTGCTAAGAGAAGACTTTCATACATACAATATAGGTGTCTACAGACCCTATGATTGATTTGGAGAAAAACAACACACATCATTTGAAACCAATAGTTTTAGAAATATTTGTAGTTGAACTGAATAAAATAGGGAATAATAGAGCGTGTAATGGTTTTGAGTCTCTGGGGATACAATATATTTGTACACATATAACTACTGTTTCTGAGCTTAAATTAGTCCATGTTTTATATAGGCTACTGGCGTCTATAATTGTGCAGCCTCCCTGGTGGGAAGCTCTGGATGTGTTGAACCTTTGAGAGCCACAGTGACCCACAGTAAGCCACAGATAAGGTCTCCATTAGGGCTGTTATTTTAAAGCATCTCACCCGTTAATGGACTCCCCTGGCCCAGCTGCAGACCCACTATCTTATCCTCCCAGGCCCAGTTAACAAGCCTGGGTTTGGCTTCCTACAGGTGTGAGACAAGGCCCCTGCTGAGAGTGTGGCGAGACACTCGTGTGTTGTCGGCTCCACAGCAACTATTAATATACCTCTGCAATAGGCGCATTCACACTGCGGTACTTTTCCCACAAAGGTTCATGTGAACTTAGTTAATGTGTACTCTTTAGTTCTCATAAACTAAGTACAGATCGCGTTCATACTGGAAAAAGTCCCTGGGGGTGGATTAGGCAAATGAAGCCGCTGACGTCACTTGTTGGCTACCTTGGTGAGCATTACAAACGTTTATTGAAAAGCATTAGTGAGGTGGCAAAAAAACTGAAAACAATGAACACTTTATATAATGAGAGTTATTATGATAATAACACTTCTCTGTTGTGAAAAAAATGCTTCAATATATTTATTTAGATTTACCATAAACTAAACTGACATAATATTATATTATAGTATATAGTAATACTTTTATGTAGTGTTTATATTTGATTAAATATTAAAGTCGTCATTTTAAGAAACAAGTTAGCTCTGCTTAAAGACCGGAATGTGTTGTTTCACACTTGGTTTTAGTACAGGTTAGACAGAAAAAATATAACCTTTGCAATGTCAATTTTTTCACAGCATGGATTTTAACAGAGGAAAGGTTTTACAGCTGTTGCCCATCTTTATGCTTAACTAAGCTAATCAGTTATGGCTTGTAATTTGACATTTTAGGTACAGTAGGCCTACAGACATGTTAGTTCCCGGCAAGAATGTTTTTTCTCTGAATGTCAAAAAGTGCCTTCAATCAATCATCCATTGAGAGAAATTAATCAACACATAAAGTCATTTACCTAGCAAAACTAACAAATATTAGTCTGAAGATGCGTGCCTTTTTCTTTTTGTCCTTTATTATTTGTTAAATATTAGGGTTTTGGACTTTTTAGTTTAGAGAAGGTTGTCAACCCTTCATGTCCTTCACGTGAATTACCAAGATGCGTGGTGCCTTAAGCTTGCATTGGGACCAACAGGCTTTTCCCTCAATTTAAATGTCCACTTCATTAACAATACTCAACAACAAATTATAGTATTAAATGGAAAGAGTCCTTTTCTGCCTTTTTGTCTCTGATATTTCAAATCTTTTATTACAGAAAGGTGCTATTATTTCCCTTCAAATACCTCTCACTGACATTGTTAAAAAAAACGCCTTATTGACCTGTCAATTGCAAAAGCTTGAAAGACCTATAGCAACAGTAACCAAGAGGGGCAGTGTCCTGCATTCAGGAGAATTTTGCCTCTTACAGTACATTTGAATAAAGCCAGAGTCTGAAAGGTCAAGCCTTCCTCAATAACATGTACATTATAATGTCTCAGAAGAACCTTCATTAGCTGGCAATGGCCAGTACCTTTACAAATACTGAACAAAAGGGGAAGGTAGCATCCTATATAATGTAGTTTTTTTTGTATGCTACTATTAAGGTTAAGGCAAAATGTACAAACAGGTAACATCACTTTGCAACCAGTACATTGAAACAATACAGTCCTATTTTAACACCATGCACTTTGAGATAATGAAAAACAATAAATGTATCTGTGTAATCTGAAAGAGTTGATTGAATTTGAGTCTGGATGCCAAGCAGGTACTTGGCAAAGACTCAGTATTCGAACAGCATTGATAGTATTTCCCCATTAGTTGATCCCTCATGTCCGTTTGCCTGACGCCCTTCAGGTGGTCTGAGGATTTGGCTTTGTTAGTCCGACGATTATTTCCAAAACACACTGCAATTTCGATAGGTAAGTACTGTTTTTTATTACCGTACTCCAAATAAAGCACAGCAATACCTTGTGATCTTTAAACTATTCCATTTTTTTTTTCTCAGAGGAGTGTTCAAGTTTAACCGCATCTTAGAAAAATAATTGGTTCTGTATGTACAACAACAATGGTGATATAAACATGTTAAAAGTATTATACAATAGCATTTGTTGCCTGATCCTTATCAAAAATGTAGTGAAAAACTACATTTGCACATTTTAAACGTTTTGACTATACTGTTACTAAATTATTGATTGAGCATTAATATGAAGGTGACGTATTCATGAGATATGACAGTTATTTAATATCAATTTCCATGTTTTTGCTAGAAATTAAGAAAAATATTTGAGATTCTTTTTGTTTAATCACCAAAGTAAATCAAATGTTTTCTGAAACAAATGATCCAATAACTGAAACAGCTTTCTAAAGGCACACGCAACTATCCTGCTCCAAGACATCATGATTCCTCAGGATTTTGGTAGCAGGAATCTGAGAATGTCATTACTGAAGTTTTCAGATAGCTGTGATAACACTGAGCCGTTACAGTGTTTCAGAACTCAGTCGTTACTATTTAGGGGAAATTTACATTCAGTCAAAAAGCAATTATGTATATTCTACTCATAGCAGAGTCTCTAATACTGTACTCTTAATTACTGTACTTCGAACAGACCCAAAGTGCTGCTTCACATCTTCATATTGTGGTTCCCGTTTCACTTAAATTGAACCTTTTGATTAATCTGGGAGGATGTTATAGTTACACTCTTGTGTTGCATTCTCTTAAATTTAAGACGGTTTAAAAATCTTTAGCTTAATAATTTGTTTGTATCTGACTCATACTGTCTGTTTTACACTATGTTGCCAGAATACCAAAGGAAAATGGAAAAGGTTTTCCCTATCTTATAATAACACCAAAAAAGGCTCCGATATCAGCTAATCCATATGTTATTATCCGCCTATATGACAGCTTATAAGAGGAAACCGGGGTAAGAAATTAAAAAGATATGTTTGAGGTATTTTAGTAATGCACACTAGAGAGCACTGATAAGTAAACCTTGTTTGTTTCGTAGATAACCTAATTTAAGGATGCTGAAAAAACGTTTTTTTCATTAGTTTAAAGTCAAACAAAAATAATACTGTTTTTAAATGTATCCTTTGTGTTTGTTTGACTTTGAACTTCTTTAAAAACAACAATTATGAAGTTCCTCACAGCCATGGACGCTGAAGGTGTGATACCGGCCCTCAAATGTCAGTGCCCAGCTGTCGTGGGACACACCCGTCCAGCTACACAATGTTTCTACAAATGTATGTCCCCAGAATATTTACCTCTTTTTATAAAATGAAAAAATATACACAAAAGCTGTAGTATCCTTATATAGTTATATGATGTAATGTCCTTGCATCACGATGAGAATTCAAATTTCAGCTCGCCTTTAAAACCAAATATTAATGCACAACAGCATTATTGGATTCTTTAACCCTCAAATATCAAGATAGGTTTCAACTCCTCAAATCCAGTATTGGTCCCGGCTCTATAAACAACATCACGTTCTGTTATTGAATGTACCTTAGACACTGATATGAAGAGAGAATGAGCAGCAGTCATGGAAACAGTCTTGAACAAAGCACAAGGAAGGTCATTTCATTTACAGTGCATCACAGAGACGTGCCTTGCTAGATTCTTGTTTTAAATGCTCTTCTATTTTTGTTTTGGTCCAACAGCTAAGCTAAGTCTGAGCAGCACAGTGGACCCAAGGCTAGCAGCTGTCTTGACACAGTGTGAGTGCTTTGACGCAAATGTTCTCCATGCACAGACCTCACACAGCTTTTCTCCCGGCTCGGACCTGATGAGGTCCCCAAAGTCGTGGCTCGTCATGTCGCCTTACCGGCAGGTGCAGCTTCTCTGACACCTGCGGCTAGCTGTGAAAGGAAACGCCCCCATAATGGAAGATAAGCCGCTGATGCCTGGATCTCTGTATTTGTTTATACAGGAAGAGGCGTATGTTGTGCTGTGGTAGGAGCCACCTGGCGGGGGTGAGGAGAGGCTGGTTAGGATAAGGACAGAGCGGCGGGGGGGGGAGGTGAGACAGGGGTCAGACACTCAGGGTCATGTTTCGGAGCAGCCACTGCTGAGAGCGGCTGCCGTTGCAGTCTTTCAGGGTGGGGACCATCTTGTCCTCCTCTGACGGCATGTCCAAACACTGGTTGCTGTTCACGTGCAGCAGGGTGAGTCGCTGGAGAGGGAAAGAGGGAGATGTCAACACGTTAGCGTAGATACATAAACAAATACTTTCAGTTTTTACATTTTTCTGTCATTTCCCCTCAACCTGGAGAAGGTGGAAACTGCTTGGATGTTTAAGAGGAACCTTCAAAGACACACTTCCAAATATTGATTTCCCGTATTTTACAAAAACATTATTTTACCCAAGCAAATGGCCTGAGCTGACACTCTAAGACTGCAGCTGGGGCAAGAAAAAAGCCATAGGCACAATAAGAGAGCAGGATGTTCTGGTTGAGTTAAAGTGAGAGTCGTGCCCATTGTTCAACACAACATGCACTGACGCTGCTTGGAGAATTGGGGCTCCTGTCAGTTGTGAGGCTGTGTCACAGCCACTTTACAGGAAAGATTTCTCTGTGAATCGCTGTTGAGCATCAGAAAATGTCAAAAAAGGCACTAGCCGCAGAGACTAGCTGCATTACATGGACATGATGGATATGTCAAATCGTTGTAGTAAAATGGCATAGCAGTTTCCTGTAGATTTTGGCTTGGAGTTTGGAGTTGGCAGGTTAAATGTTGGATAAAAAGCAAGCAGAGATTGGACTCAGGGGGGCAGTCAGTGTGTGGGACAGAAGACTACAGTAGGAGGAGGCCTATGTCCAAGTAGCTTAAAATATTAGCCACAAGACTAATTTATAGATATGTTATATTATTAACTCTGCAACAACTTATGCGTTGGCCACTTTGAGGCAGCACTAATATTTATTTTAAGTCAGTGACAAACAAGTTAGCAAAGAGATGAAAGACACTATAATTCTCTACAGAGGTGAAGTGAAGCACAGCCTAGGGTGCTTTTAAGCATTCTGATCATGAAAACAACCAAAATAATTTACTTTGTTATGTGCTTCTGTGGGAAACAAAAAGTTATTAAAAGTGACACCATTATTGGTAAAAGTAATAATGTCAGATTAGGTACATTTGGAAATTGCTAGTATTTGTAGTTATTACCAAACAGAAAGTATGGGCAGTCATTTATTTTTGCATAAGGCAAGATACATTGTTCATTTACCTGCATAAAAGTTTAAAATGAGATAACAATCAAAACAGGCACCCTTTAACACTCAACCCCCATTGGGATATAATATATATTTTCTTTATGTCATTAATAACACCTGGATGATCGACAGATAAACTCATTGTCTTATTGTTAGAGCAATATTACTAATACTAACTAGAGAATGCAATTCCTGAAGAAATTGCTAGTGGGAATGCTTTATGCTGAAAAGCTGACGCTAAACTGCTATGCTGAAATGTAATGTGTAAGAAGAAAGTGAAGAATTTAGATTGAAATGATACATGAACACTGGGGGCTTGAATGTGTGATGAGAGAAGAAAAGAAAGTAAAAAGGCTTGGAAAAGCAGCAGAATATTTGACTAACTTGATGGTGAATGATCTGTCGCCATGCCAACGGCATTTGATGACATCCCATAATACGCTTAGATGCGTTGATGGCTGCATCGTTACCAAACCTGTGAAGTTTTGGGCCGTTTGGAGCATTTTCACTGAAGTTATGAGAAAACCGTGTTTCATGGCGAGCATTGTGTTGCCGCCATGGCAACGACATTTGAAGAAATCTCAAAACTGTCCCGTAGATGTCTTCACGGCTGGACTGTTAGCACACATGTGAAGTTTGAGCACTTTTTGAACATTTTCATAGGAGATATAGCGACATCGTCTTTTATGGCGAGGGATGCATTTCCATGGAAACGGCTTATGATGAAATCCCATAATTGACGTAGAGCTGTTGAGGCATGGAGAGGTGATATACAGGTGAAGATTGTGGGACGACCGGACCGTGTCCATTGGAGCAACAGCGACATCGTGTTTTATGGCGAGGGATGCGTTTCCGTTTTTTTTTTTAATCTTTCAAGCTACGAGATGTTTTCCTACGTTTGTCATGAAAAATTATGTCTCAGGAATGTAGGGTTTGGGAATTATGGCAGGTTTAAAAGAAGAAAAAAAATATATATATATATTATATATTAAATCTGTCTTCCACTGTGACACCACGCACTCTAAAATCTGAAGAAGGCCTCTTTACCAAGGTCTGAACAATGTTTAATATCTATAAAAGTAAGAATCAGATTTAAAAGTTGTGTTACACGAATAATGTCAGAAGGATGTGTGACATTTTAAAGTTGGAATGAGGTTTCTGAGTGAAAGTATGAAGGAGCAGTTAGCAGTTGAAGAAGGAGCAGTTAGCAGTTGAAGTTGCATGAAGATTGTTGAAGTCTGAAGAGTTCTCCATTGACTTCCATGTTAAAAATGGGATGTATCTCTGGAATTACGTATGAAAGTTATGAATGATAAAAGTAATAGCCATTGATTCCCAACCGAGCTGAATGTTTTGATGTTTGAACGGAGTTTCTGCGATGTTCAATGTGGGAGAAGAAGCAGCGCAAAATAACCTGGCGGAATAATAAAGAATTTTGTGCGTAGCATAACAGATAGTGGTGCTGTGTCAGCATTCCCACTAAATAATTAAAAATATTGGCTCAGACTGAGGGACTATCTTTTGAGGGATATACACTGAACAAAAATATAAATGCAACACTTTTGTTTTTGCTCCCATTTTTCATGAGATGAACTCAAAGATCTAAAACATTTTCTATATACACAAAATAACCATTTCTCTCAAATATTGTTCACAAATCTGAAAGAATCTGTGATAGTGAGCACTTCTCCTTTGCCGAGATAATCCATCCCACCTCACAGGTGTGGCATATCAAGATGCTGATTAGACAGCATGATTATTGCACAGGTGTGCCTTAGGCTGGCCACAATAAAAGGCCACTCTGAAACGTGCAGTTTTGCTTTATGGGGGGGGGTCTGGGGGGGTCCGAAAACCAGTCAGTATCTGGTGTGACCACCATTTGCCTCACGCAGTGCAACACATCTCCTTCGCATAGAGTTGATCAGGTTGTTGATTGTGGCCTGTGGAATGTTGGTCCACTCTTCTTCAATGGCTGTGCGAAGTTGCTGGATATTGGCAGGAACTGGAACACGCTGTCGTATACGCCGATCCAGAGCATCCCAAACATGACGACGAGCATGCAGATGAGCTTCCCTGAGACGGTTTCTGACAGTTTGTGCAGAAATTCTTTGGTTATGCAAACCGATTGTTGCAGCAGCTGTCCGAGTGGCTGGTCTCAGACGATCTTGGAGGTGAACATGCTGGATGTGGAGGTCCTGGGCTGGTGTGGTTACACGTGGTCTGCGGTTGTGAGGCCGGTTGGATGTACTGCCAAATTCTCTGAAACGCCTTTGGAGACGGCTTATGGTAGAGAAATGAACATTCACGGGCAACAGCTCTGGTGGACATTCCTACTGTCAGCATGCCAATTGCACGCTCCCTCAAAACTTGCGACATCTGTGACATTGTGCTGTGTGATAAAACTGAACATTTTAGAGTGGCCTTTTATTGTGGCCAGCCTAAGGCACACCTGTGCAATAATCATGCTGTCTAATCAGCATCTTGATATGCCACACCTGTGAGGTGGGATGGATTATCTCGGCAAAGGAGAAGTGCTCACTATCACAGATTTTTTCAGATTTGTGAACAATATTTGAGAGAAATGGTGTATATAGAAAATGTTTTAGATATTTGAGTTCATCTCATGAAAAATGGGAGAAAAAACAAGTGTTGCATTTATATTTTTGTTCAGTGTATGTATATTCAAATGTTCATGACCTCAAACACTGCTGATATTCTTGGAGTTTCCTCAGCCAACCTCCCAAATGTATCACCTGCTCCACTCCCCATTTTGCCCTCTCTTTTTAATCAGTCCTGTCTTTTTACTTTTCTCTCATATAAACGAGAAAAGGTAGAACAAAGCCCAAGTGCTTTTAAAATGTCCACACTGGAAAAGCACACCTGTTGTGATTAGTTGAACAAAAGCACCACATTAGCAAGCATATAATACCCTCACCAACCACTGGAGGAGAGATCTCAATGGCCTTGATTAACCTTTTATGTTCATTCCCTCCCAAGTAACACGCTTCCGCAATTTCGCTCCTTACTAGAGTCTTTTTTCCTCAACCTAATAGTTGCACGTGGAGAGGTATAGAAGCTAAGGTTGCATAGGAAAATTATGATGTAGCTGGTATTGGTAAGATTTACTTAAAAGTAAAATGTTAAGTGATACTAAGAACCCATTAAGTGTTCTAATGTCTGTGAATGAAGGGATTCAGAAGAAATCTTGAAAAGAAAAAGAACAAGAGAGTTCCACCAGTCTGCACCCAGTTATCTAGGGCAGTGGTTCCCAACCTTTTTTCCCAAGAGCCCCCCCAAATGACTCCTGTTGGAAGTTGCGCCACACACACACACACGGGGGGGGGGCAACAGCGGTAATTAAAGTTTAAAAGTCTCAAAAATGCTACAACTATACTGTCACAAACTAGATGAATGTGAAGTATTTTGTTAAAGGAGGATGAAAGCGTAATTTAGGAGCACTATTGGAGTGACTTTGATGGTTATTGGACTCAGGATTAATTCATTTGGATTCCCGCTGTATGAAGAAATTAAAGGAGGGATTAAACTGTTTAAAACACATGCTCAAAGTAAGCCGGATTTTGCCGATGTGTTTATGTGGATTCAAAAGTCGTAAATAATCTACAAAATGGAGGAGACCGATCTGATCGGAGCAACTGTGACAAATAATCCAACTGAAACCGGCATGGACAATGACTATGTTTTAAAAATGCGCTTATCCAGAAAAGCCCGGTTTGGATGCTTTACGGGCAGAAGAAACATTTCTATTAAAGAAAGAATTATACATGTTATGCCTTTAATAGCTACTAACTTGAATTGTTATTCAAATTAATCAATTATTTTTTATATTTTATTGTAATGTAGAGACAAGGCTTTTAGTGACAATCATGTATTGCTTTAAAAAATAATAATAATAATAATAAGTCTAAATATGATATTTGGCCTCAGATGATTTGAGGCCTGGCGCCCCCCCTGCGTTTTTTGCCCCCCCCCCCCAGGTTGGGAACCACTGATCTAGGGAGTCATATTCATACTAAGCAGCACAGCATTAAGTTAAATAAACACCCTACAAACATCCCTAAAAACATTGTGTTTTTGGCATTAAAACATGAACACTGGCATGATTTATCTTGTGGTTGAATCCTAATTATTCATTAAAACAAGAATGTACTTTGACTGTTGACAGAATATATTCAGACTAATGAGCACACAGAGACACTCAGCCCATGTTTGATCTTAAGCTATAAAACACAAGGGCATGACATTCCCTGCCTGGATACAAAGAAGTGCGCGCACACAAACACACACACACACACACACACACACACACACACACACACACACACACACACACACACACACACACACACACACACACACACACACACACACACACACACACACACACCACACACACACACACACACACACACACACACACACACACACACACACACACACACACACACACACACACACATCTTTCCTGAAGTACATATTGCAGACCACGCCACGGGACACATTTGTTCAAACACAACAAGAACAAAGAGAGCAGGTGGTGTTGGACCTTACACACCTGCCAAAAAATGAACGAGTAAGAGAAAGGAAGCTCTTCACTACATACATTTTAAGTTTGTTAAGCAGCTTATTTGAGGATAAGAAAAGAAAACCAGAAAAAAATATCACTCCTTTTTTTGCGAATTTGAAATCAATATGCAGTATAATTCTCTTTAAAATGTGTATTCATACTGCATATGGAGGTATATCTAATCTATAAATCATAAGGAACTGGCTTAGGCAATAATGAGAAATCACATTTTTCTTTTATTCAAAGCTACTCTATTGGCAGAGATGACAGAAGAGGACTGTAACAGCAGAGGGTAGAAAAAACATTCCACATTAAATGAAAATACTATAAATGGTGAGGTATTGTCCTTTGCTCATCATTATGTCATGCTTCCTTTGGGGCAAAGAAAGCTCCCGTCTCAGCCTCGCAGCAAACCAACTAGCCTCTGCAAGTCGCTGAGTGTGTGCACAGCTGAGACCGGCTAATTAAATGAGAACGCTTCCTAACCATAAGCCAAGGGTGAGGAACATCATCCTCTTTGTCACCAGGCAGCGCGGTGGACTCGCTGAAAGACAGAATACATCCTGGTTGACGTGATCTTATGCTGAAGGCTGGTCTGCTGTTTTTGTGGGAAATACAAAAAACAGCGGATACCTTTTTTGTCTGGAGTCAGAAAACAGTCTCACTCGCTCTAATGGTGCCCTGCTATTGTGTAGGTGCTCTCCTCTGATGCTGGACATAGGACCTCGGAGTGTAAACAGCAAATCAGGCCATCTAACAGCAGGTCATTTTACTGCCGAAACTCTGACACACACCAGCAGCCATGGAGCTCCTTACCCAATTGACCCTGCTTGCACACAAAAACTGTGGCATGCTACAGTGAAATTGCTCTTTAGCTTTTTGAGAGATACAGGACTCCGTACAGGACTCCAAGGCACAAACACCATATAACAAAGAAAGCGAACTAGGATACAAAGACCGGAAAACTGCAACCCTGACACAGCCAGAAAATCGTCAGCCAAAACATTTTCCTTACAAAAGCATTTAAATAAGCAAGCCGAGTGGTGAAAAGCACCGATAATACGAATTCATTGGTTTTACAAATATGTACATGGCACACAGTGCATACAGCTGCTTCAGGCCAATAGGAGAGTGTCCTGAGAGGCCAGTGCCATGAAAGGCAGGTTCACAATGAAGGATCACTTCAAAAGAACTTGTAAACAATGGTGAGTCCATTTTAATCAGCCCTGCCTGTAGATAATCAGCTAAAAATAAATCATGCCTCCATCTCAGGCATCATTCACCGAACGCTGGCAGGAAAGGGGGCAGCTGCTGGATTTTCACATCAAAATAAAATATTTATGTTGGAAAATAAATGTCAAATGAGATCTAATTTAGCATGAAATCTGGTTAAAGGTCCTCGCTGTTAGCATCTTATACACAGAAACATCGTGATGGGACATCTGTCACTTCTTGATGTGCCTCTGCCCGGTCTTCATACGTTCCCCCTGAAAGGTCAGCGGTAAAAGCTACTTAATCTCCAGGCTGAAGACTTTTCTTTTTGTCGCTGCTTTTAATTGAACTATTCATATCTTAGACTGCACTGTAACTTTTATCCATGTATTTTTTCTTTTAATGTTTATTTTATTAGCTTTTCTTTTTAATGACTGATTCTAAATGCCATTTTCTTAATCTCTTTCATTTTTTGTAAAGCACTTTGAATTGCCTTGTGTTGAAAAGTGCTATATAAATAAACTTGCCTTGCCTTGCCTTGCCTTAATGCTACCTAAAACCATTTCCATGCACATTCTGACTAATACCTGAAAGATCAACAAGAGATCAGAACAACAAGCTCTGCATTCATCCGCCCTCACTGAAAAAAAACAAGAAACTAAACAATCCCATAAAAACGAAAACAACAATCAGCTACAAAGGTGACTATTAAACCGGAACAGGTTGAACTAATCTACTTCTAACAATGCTAATGACAAACTACATCACGACACGCGACTAAACGACCACCACTTGCCTAATTTTTACTAACCTGCTCACCTCAAGCCCTACAGCTAGAGAAAATAATCAGTGGGACTGAAGTAAAGGTGTTGAGCGACTTCCTGACGTGTGTAGTTATGGAGGATCCAGGCCTGTAAGGGACTGCCGTTACAGGACTCCACTGTGGGGCCGTAGGTGCCGTCCTCCAGGCGGCTGATGGTCAGACATGATTGGGTGATGATGTGGAGGAAGGTGTGCTTCTGCAGCAAGCCCGGAGTGATAGGGAGAGATGGTATTGAAGGTAAATCCAAGAGTCATGAATTATTGTTAAATCAATCCATCTGTTCCTCACTGCCCACTTTCAAGTTTAATAACAGGTGATTTGTTCAAATAGAAAAGTTGTGTTGTTTATTTAAGGTGTTTGAATCCTGGACTGACGCAGTTTGATCATGGACCTGTATCAGGTGTACAATTCACAGTATGAAACCATAGATCTTCAATATATATGAATGACTGGTGACTCAGATATCAATACATCTGAGACAAATTAACCAGTGAATTAGCACATCAATAATTATAACTGGTGAAAAAAACTCATTTAAATCTGAGAATTAATTTCAAATTCTGCACAGTACAGATATAAATAGATTGTGTTAAACTATAACAGATGTCAATGAACAGCAATGTTTGTTGTTTTGACATGACCCATTTAATATTCGGTTGAATAAAAAACAATGTATTTTTTGTTGTATGGATTTTGGCATATTGCTGGTTTCCTTTTAAGACATTTTTCTCAATGATTGATTTGGTAATGAGGTTACTTTTGGCTCAGATGTTTTGATATTTGCTCCTCCTTTTTGATTGAAGGATACAACTAATCAAGTGCTGCATTCAAGACTAAGGACACTCTGAAATGTCCAATGAAACAAATATGGACATATCCACATAACCTTTAGATATGTACAACATGACAATGTAATAGTTGCATTTATACTGTCAATGAACAGAATACAAATCATTCACATCTAAATGTTTTTACATCTCTGAATGCGACATTAGTATAAAGGAGTTTTATATTGTGAATTTGATGCCTGAGAAAGATCAGTAATGATAACTTTATATCTCTACTAAACTCAGTGCTGCTCATAGTTTGCAGAAATTAAACTTGTTTCTACCCCACGTGATTACATTCTTCCTAATTTAGATTTTCGCAGAGGACGTGTCTTTGTGGGTGACACAACCTGACAGCTCTCCTTGGCAATACAGTATTGCCGACAATAACAGTAAAACAACTATCAATCTCTACTATGCTAATGTTAATGTTACATGTATATGAAGGATAAACGGAAGGCCAGGATACATTTGTCAGATTATTCTATTTAACATTAAACATTAAAGGTGGGGTAGGTACGTTTGAGAAACTGACTCGAGATACACTTTGTGTTATATTCCATGGAATGCTCTTAACATCCTGATAGCAATGAATATCTTAAGTGCTTTGACAAGAAATCCATAAAAAAATGTCACCTGTGGAAGCCGTAGTACTGTAAAAAGCACGACTAATCATTTTAGCCGGCCCGGCTAAAATAACTGGATGGCCTACCTGCCTGTCAGCCTTCCATCTGTGCACAAATTTATCTCGTGCCCTCATTGGTCATGTGCGCGTTCGTGTGTGTTGGAGGAGGGGCTCTGTAAGGAAGTGGCATATTTTTTCCGGCTGTGTATTTTCAAATTCTAGCGCATTCGAGCTGGTTTCTCCAAAATGACCTACCCCACCTTTAAGTTATATTTATGTGTAAATAAAGGAGAGAGAACATAGCTCGATCCTGGCTGAAACAGCAGGGGAAAAAGAAAGAGGGCAGTCTGTCACAGTCGTGAATGAATAAAGCAGGACCATGGCAGAGACAGGTATTTCTATGAAACTGAAACTGATGAGAAGATGAAATGTTAATGGTTCTGTAGTCACAAAGGATTCAGTCCCTGTCCATCACACTGGGGCTTAAAATAACCGAGGCCACTGACAGCGGTGAAACCCCAATGCTGTTTACGACAGAGACCAGTCCTCTTCGTTTATGAATTATTCAAGTTCTTCCATATTAAGAATGCTCCCAAAGAACAAAGTGTAATGAAGGGATTTCTCCGAGGGTTTGTTCAGTGCTGGGTGGAAAGGCCTCCGGGCCTCCTCACCTTGTTACAACTACATGTCAGCTATAGTGCATCTCAATCACTGATAAATGGCCCTGTATTCAGCTCACTCTTCTCCAACCATCGCCTTATGCTTCAGTAGAGGAAACATGAATTGTTAATATAAAAGTTGCTTTTTGTGATGTACAATCCATAATTGACTATGAGTTATGAGTCAACAAGGGGAGTATTTTAGTCCTTCTTTGAGATCCACATTTTTCTTTTTTATATTTAAGAGCCTTAAATTGACTCTACATTTCATAATGAATGTATCCATAACCAGGAATATAAGGTAAAAATGAATCTGCTGTTTAATATGCAGAATTCATTAGCTTTTTCATTAATCTAATCCTTATTTTCATGCTTCTATTAATAAACGATGAGTCACTTGTTGGATGTGTATGTTTTTGTTTAAGTGTGTCTTACAGGCCATAGGTCTGTTATGTAACACACTATATCAGGATAAAGGTTTGTTATTCTACCTGGCAGGTGTTTTATTATTTTTCCCCATTGAATTTACTTTAATTAGGGTTGATTTAATGGCAGCAATATCTCTATGTATAATGCAATACAGTCAAACAGCAAATGTTCCACTCCATAATGTTGAGTCTTAACTAAATCTAAACATCATATATTTGTATATCGTATCAGACTGCATTCTTTACAGGAGGGGTGTTGTGATGGATTCAAAATAGAATTCATTTTAAAGAACAAATAGAAATCAAACATCCTTTAAAGATTCAACCTCCCCTTTCTGCCAAAAATAATAAACCATAAATCCTCTACTCTAAAAACCACCAACACAGAATTATGGGATAAATCACAACACTGGAAGCACAGCACTCAAACTATGGGGCAATATTCAGGAACGATGACTTGAACAGCTTACCTCAAAATCATATTCCCACTTGCCAACATACTGAGTGAGAGGAGAGAACATGAGAGCAGAGACTCAGCAGCTGGGGTTGACAACTGCTAAAAAACGGACATACAGCGCCATCTGGTGGAAGCAAATGTATATTGCTTCTCCCACTTTGCACTACCCAAACCCTCACGATGACATAGGCAAAACAAAATCATTCACTATTTCCTCCAAGTCCTTTTTCGAAACATCAGTCAATAGGAACCAAAAAATGCCCCCCTGCAACAACACACAGCCTGGTTATGGCATTATTTGGCTGCTAACGGGAATATGAGTCCTACCTCGGCATCATACTCGAACATCTGATTGCCCTTCATGTGGTGACACTTGAGCATGACGACAGGTCCATTGAGGCGGGATACATCCAAACAAAGGTCGTCTGTCCTTATTTCTTTATCCGCCGTGTAAGAGAACACCTGAAAAACAAGAGGCCTCTGTCAGAAGAGGAAGAATCAACGTCATCACTAGGCTTTCTAGAAATGTATATGATCATTGTGTCTTTGATCAAGGGATATTTGAGTGATTTGCACAACATTTGTGATTTTATTTGGATTTAGAGCTTTTGTTGTGCCAAACCTGATTTAGATTGTGTACTGTACAAAAAGAGTGCAGTTTCAGTGATGTATACTCATGTAGTGTCTCGTGTAGTGTAGTTATTCAGAATAGCCCATAACAAGAGTTGCAAGCAAAGAGGGAACACTGTTCAGACGAGAGTACAATTAAATACTTGGCACAAACCATCCTCAAATGCCAAAGACTTCACAATGGCCGACAGCAGTGAACCAAATCAACAAAGGACTAAAGAAACACGAAAGAGAAACTTGGCAAACATCCCAACTTGAATTGTATGGAAAATCTGTGGATTGACTTGAAAGTTGGCAATTCACACATACTTTGCCTCCAGTGTGATTGAGCTCAAGCTTTGGAGCAAAGACAAAAGCTCATGTTTCCAGGATAAAGCAGTATCAAAGGCTTGGCTTTGTCAATGTTAATCCAAAAGAGATTAATCCTACATTCCACTAAGAACAATTCCTCTTTAGGCACATTCCCAGCTATTGTTCATAGGACAATGTGTGTGTTGTTGTACAAACAGTGTTGTAAGACTACAAACAATACATATTTTTGTTTTAATATATTTCTTCACTCACCTGGTTTCCACCCATGCCATGACAGTTGAAAAAGCCAACTTTCTCGTTCTCCTTTCTTCCCATGTTGTCCACACACTGGTTGGTCTCAACATTTCTGATCTACAGGAAGGATTAGAAAAAAAGGTTCTCTAATGTGAAGTTAACTTTCTATGTCTAGTCTGTGTCTTTAATTTCATACGTATTAGCAACCTAACCAAACAGAAGCTAGTCGAGGCCTGCTTAATATTTCTCATTAAAAATGAATAATCTTTTCTACACCCCTATTCTTTTGTGAGTGTTCATTAATGTCCTGTAGTTTATTGCTACCGTTTCAGTTTTAGTTCTTGGTTAAAGCTTTACTTTTTTAGGTTTCTATATGCAAAAACGGCAGACATTTTCTGATTCGGATACGTAATGAACAGTATGTGAGGCTTGTCTTTGTTTATGTATCGTTGTAAAATTAATGTCTTTGGATTTTAGTTTGACAAGTGAGACATTTGAAGAAAGCCGTCTTAGGCTCCAGGAAATCATAGCTGGCATTTTCTATCCTTTTTTTTACATTTTTTCTAGGCAAAATTATACCATAGTAATGAAATGTTTGTTAGTAGAAGCCTCAAATCCTCAATATAATTGATATTGTGTCACCAAGTTATCCAAATTCTACTTTCTATTGTCTTTCCTTGCTGAAATGCAGAAGTGAACTCACTGACTTTACAGTCCACTCAGCTTTCTAATGAAGTCATACATTCTAAGGCTGAGCTGGCTCTATATGTTGCCTGAGCGTCTTAGTATAGCTGTCGTGCAGGAACAGGACGGCGTTCATAATTAAGTTATATCAAACCGAATGGTTCCAGCTGTTAAAGAAAGGCTGACTGTGTTATGGAGGAAGAGAAATCAGCTGGGAGAAGTTAGAGGAAGACGAGAGCTGAGGAGCTGCAGTGGCTAAAGAGAGAGAGGGAGAATCAAGTCGTACTGCAGTACAGCAGAGAAAAATCCCCTCATCCTCAGCTGTATGAATGTTGGAGGATTACAGGCTCATTTCAGTTCTTCCACTGATGTTACTTTTAAATGGCTCCCATCTATTGTACAGGTAGAGCACTGCATGTCAGCACGGAGCCATGGGCATCGAGAGGCAAATCCAGGCCACTTAAAATCTTTTCTGTGTGAGGGGGAACTAACGATTAGAAAGGAACTCAAACTTTCAATATCTTCAAAACAATTAACCATGAATTCTCAAAGCTTAGCTGCAAATTATCGCAGTTCCCACAATCCCCTTTCTCATTTGTAAAAAACCGACTGTTTTATCTCTGCTTAATAGAGTAATACCATTTTTTTTAAAATTATTATTAAAGGTCCTCTGTTTTCAGGTTCTAGAATAAAAAATATTTTCACACATTTTCTGGTTACATCACTGTTTGAGAGAGATTCTGACTCATATTTGGTTTTAATAATTAATATTGGTTCACCCAGCACAACACCAAACTGTGCCATGAGACTATAAAATGTATACATGAGCCTTATCTCAACTACCCAGCATTCATAGCAACAACTGTGTATGTGGCTGGGATCAATACTGCCAGCACGAACATCCCCCTGTTTGTTTATCCTAGGCATTCAATACGAACAGCTGGGGATGTTTGTTTTTATCTTGTTTGGTTCAGCCTTTTGCTGGATCCAGAGATTTTCTGATATATCTCACAGCAATATTTTCTTTCTGAAAGTGCAACCCTGGAGCTACAAGGACACATCTGACTGAATGCAGAGGGAGGCAGTCTGCATCTGATGCATTCATGGAGATCAGAGTACAAGGGAGCTCATACTTCACCAAGTGAGTAGTATCTCCTCGGGATCTGGGAGTCTGGGTAGATGTTCTCTAGATACCAGGAAAACGGTTTGCACTTCAAGGCCTCGCGAAGGTCTCTGCGGGAGGAAACGTCTCCGTAGTCCACACGCATCACGCCTGCAGACAAAATGCCAAGACAAGGATTCAAATATATGCAACACTGAACATCATTAACCAGCGTTAACCTTAGTATTTACGTGTTTTGTCCGGATTATAATTCTGAAAGAGAAAAATAATCCTGTTTTCTTGCACCACCTCGACTAAACACCAGAGGGACCCTTTATTAAAACCTTGCAAACGTACCTGAAAATACTGGCTGTGTGGGTGGACATGGCAGCATTTTCTACTGAGTAACACATCACAACCTACAGTAATTGCTGCTAAGAGGGCTTGTGAGGAAGTCAAATTCTATTTATACACCGTTTTTCTAAAAGCACGTTCTTCAGATATGCAGAAAAAATGCAATTGTGGAATACTGTCTGTCATGATGTATGCAAAAATGAAGATTGCATTATGCATCAGCCCTGATACAACAGAAGACTAAAGAATGATTAGGCAGCGACTGGGCACCGACACTTACAAACACATTAAGCAGATGGTTTCTCCCCAGAGTGCTTCTTGAGGACTCATAGCTTGCATGTAGACAGACACGGATGGCTATTTATCATGAAAGAGTGTGATTGCGATATGACAGAACACGATATTAAACAACAACCGTCATGTTAAGACTTACAGTTTGTTTATCCGTCAAACAGGAGCCTGACAATGCAAACAGCACCTTCTGTCACACTAACAAGGTGTTACACTTTAATCTGGGAAATAGACATTTCAAGGCGAGAGATAAAAGCGAAAACCTGAAGGCCACTCTTCCTCCCCTGCCTCCCAATTTATTCTCTGTGTAGGGTCTGAACATCACATGTTGCAGATGATGAATAGCCTCTTTGATCTTTAAATCACCAGTGCCGAGGAGGGAGATGCACTTTTAATAGAAGCGCTAAATGTGCCACTCCCAAACTCAGCCTGAGCAACATACTGTGTTCCTCTGTGCCAATAAGGGAGGTCTGGCAGCAGCGTGGCCCAGATCATTCTCCCTAATGTCCTGGAGGAACAGACGGCCATTGTGGGGCCACAACAAGCGGAAAGACTCATCCATCACAACCTCTCTCTCTCTGCACACCTGACTGTAGGAGGGTCTAGCGACTGTGTGGAGGAGGAGGTCACAGTTTGAGCTATCAGATCGGCAGATTACGGATGATCCTTTATAGGTTGTCTGGCATCTCAAACTCTTGACCAGAGATTTCCGGGACACCGCAAGCTCCTAAAGGGTAATCACATTACTAAGTCGAAAGATGGAAAGGTACTCATCTTTTAATCTGCACTCTTCTATTGTTCTGGTTGGATATGTGAGAGAGAAGTCTGTGTTAGACAGGAGAGCCTCAATGACAAACTCCAGTTTAGAGGAGCACTCAAAAATGTGTCAGAAGGAGGAATTAATTCATCTTATTTTGGATAGGACAAAAGCAGCAATAAACTCAATGTGAGCCAGAGTAAAAGGAGAAATATAAATTCTTAAATGAGCCAGATAAAAAAAAACAAGAAAATGGAAGAATAAAAGAGAGCAAAAATGACTTTCCTTTTCGCACCAATTTGGTAAATGTAATATCAGTGAGTATGGGAGAAGTAAAGTTGGTAATGAGGATTGTTCATATCTGTGTCTGCACAGCAGTGTGCAATGAATAATAATGACCAAGAGTCTCTTTAAATGATGATGACGATGACGACGATGATTATGAATAACACATTTATTAAATCCCTGAATGAACTATACATTCCCTAAAACTTTTAAATCATACAGAATTCCTGCCAGTTCAGTTAAATCATCCACTGAATAGTCAGTCTCCTGCCCATATCTGTGATCTGCTAACTCCCTCTCAGCATAATCAGGGCTTTGGTAAGGCCTACGGTACCCACTTTGCCCTAAAGATTACCGGGCCTCTGCTCTCCGGCCCCTCAGCTGTGGAGCTTCCTATCTGAGCCTTCAGACCATCTTATTTAGTGACCTCTTTTACAGTAAACCTTGGTTTTCTTCTTAACTGATGGCATTTCAACAATTGTATCATGTTTTATATCTTGTACATGTTTTGGTTACTGATTAGCAGTGGTGGGAGAAGCATTTTTTAAATCTCACTTTAGTAAAAAGGTACAAAAGTATAAGCATCAAAATATACTTGTAATAAGAAGTATCATAATGCAGAATGGCCCATTTTAGAATCAAATGTACTATTTTATTGGATTATAATTATTGAAGCATTAATGTGCTCACACTTTAGTTTTGCAGCTCAGAAAGGTGGAGCTAACTTCAATGTATTTATATACAGCTTGGTATAAACATACAATATGTTATTTGTTGATAATGTTAAGCATTACGGTAGTTATCTGTTATAAGTAAAGTAACTGATGTAATAAATGCATGTAGTGGAGTATAAGTAAGAGAAATACTTAAGTAAAGTTCCTCAAATTTCTACTTAAGTACAGTACTTTTTTTATTGTCACTAGTTTTAAAAAGGTGATCATAAAGTTATTATTACTACTATTTCAGTGGCACATGCACTCAGACACTGGCTCCACTGCTCTGTACCTGGCGATATGATGTAGAAGAAATCTTTGAAATCATCCATCCATACTTCCGCCAGGCGCCTGTTGTTCTTGTTGATGACTTGGCCCGTTCCTCCGGGAAAACTGTATGGGGTGGCCTTCCGGAAAACATGGCCCACGTGTGAACATGTTACAATTTCTAATGAGCCCCCGCACTGCCAGATCTGCAGACAAACACACACACACACACACACACACACACACACACACACACACACACACACACACACACACACACACACACACACACACACACACACACACAGTGTATTTTTATACAGCCCATAGCAGGAAAGCAGATAGATACATTCACATTAATTATGTAGGCAAGGAGAATAAGGCAAGGAAACAAGAGACCATATTATTCCCAAATATCTAGATTTCATGGTCTTACTTATTCAACATTTACTAATAATACTAGATGTGCTTCAAATGTGGAACTAATAAAGAAAGAAAAACTAAACAAAGCATACAATATTAATTTGGGCTGTTAATAATAAACATTTAAAATAAACTTAAAATCTCATTTTTTGTTCTATTTAGAGAGGTAAGGAAATCTCATTTAACTAAACATGCATTTCCAGGATTCCTCTTTCCTTGCATATTTTTCTTGAATCTTTCTCTTGAATTTTAAGTGGAAAGATACCGGTTAGGGAAAAGTGGATACAATAAAAGAGAGTTTGTTGACATGAATGCACTCTGGTGACATGATAACATCGAGATAGCATCCTCCCAGGTCTGTCACTCACTCTGAAAGACATTTCCAGGTTCTCTCCGCCCCAGATATCCATCCCTGGATCGTAGCTTCCTATTTCTTCAAAGTATGTTTTGTATATACAGAATAATCCTCCTGCCATGGTGGGAGTCCTGTAAGAAAAACAAACACAACAATTATGCAATATTGCCTCACTTTGTGCTCTATGTACCTCAGTGCAACTCAGAGGACCGTTATGAATGAACAAAAAAACAATTTGTTTGACAAACGGAAACAAAGCCTGAGAGGGGTAATTACTTTTATCTCTTAATTCATTATATGTTAAAGTCAACAACTAATTAAAGATATTGTTTGTTGCTGTGAGTGGTTCGCATGCAAATTACAAAGTGTGCCTAGCTTTGTGTAGCCAAAAAAAGTCAGTTGTGTTTTTCTATTTTTAAAATAAATGAGCTCACACATACTTCGAGAGTACAACTATCAGGATGCTATTTAGGCAGTTGCTTGCATCAGTGGGATACACAAAGGAAACATATCTATTTCTATCTGCAGGATAAAAATGGTACAAGAGGTGTTTGTGTGAAGAAATCTAACCATCCATGTCTTCTCTGTAGCCTGCTGCTCTCACAGATAAACCCACACTTAGAAAAAGTGTCTCTTCACCTTTCTCTTAATTGTTAATCAAAATACAACAAGCAAGTAGAAAGTCAGACGCACATTTCCCAGAGAAATGATCTAGACTTAGCTTCAAAGATTAAAGTTTTCTTTGTGTACCTGACAGGCAGTGTTCTGTCCCCCTTGCGCCGGTCCATCTCCCGCTGGGGAACAGGGTACCAGCGGAAATTCAGCTTCCAGTTGAATCCACCATAGGTCATATCTGAGCCTGCCATGTATTCAAACGTCTCGTCGCTGATGACATCGATGATAGGGCACACCACTGCTGTCCTGAAAGACACCAGAAATACAGTGTAAGATTCAAAGCTGAGATAAATGATATAGTAAAAGCGGAGTAGAAATATAGGATAAACGTAACAAAAGAAAACCAACTGAGTAATGGTTGGTCTGTTAAAAACAAAAGGGAAGCCACATGCTGTTCCCACCAGACCCTTTATTGATTATTCCACAGATTTGCTTAAACCAACAAAAGTAGTAATGGCAACATTAAAATAGTTTCAAAATATTGAATGTCAATTATCTCAGACAAAGGTAAAGTAAGCTATTACTAGTATAGGATTAACGTTACCACTAGTTTTGTTATGAAGTAATGTTTAACAGTGTATTATGCTATAGTCTAGGTTGGACACTGGCAAACAGTTATTATATAAAAATAAACTGCAATGTCTTTCCTTTATCATAGATCATATGACCATTAAAAAGGTCTAACGAGCACTGTTACTCATCTTTGCATAAGTGACCGGTTAATATATTGGCATTGAATTTCGAGTGTGATCGTGTCACGATAATGAGTATTTCTTCTGATGAAATGCACACCAATGAACAACAACCAATCGCATTTTGAATACTTTTGCAACATCTTGAAAGTGAATGTCAGATTTGGACAAAATGTTACCACAACAAACATGATGTCAATGTATCAACAAAAACAACCCTCTATCAATAATCCTGCTGCAGTAAGCATATCATATGTTCTGCTCTTCATGCGCCCTTTTTTAAAGACATCAATACATCTGCAGCAGCATTCAGTAAAAGTGTAATGGCTCCATAATATAATTTTCTTAGTAATATGATTCTGGTTTCTTCCTCAGGGAAAATGAATGTGTCTGACCTCAGTTATGAGAGGAATCGCCAAGAGAGTCGTTATCAACCCATCCATTCATGTCAATCTCATACACGGACACCGCAGATTCACCCTGTGTTGTTCTGAAAATATATAACTTAACGTTCCGATACCTAACAGCAGCTAAACATGTACGTGTCCACTATAACTTGGACTGTACCAGCGCATACTACCTCCTGATGTAGCAGTGTTAACACAAGTATAAAGCTACAGTAATTGGAGCTAGCTTTTCCTCCGAGGCAGCAGCAGATGATGTTGCAAAATGATTATCTTCCCCTATCCGCAGTGTCGGGGTCAAACTGTGTATTCATAACTGATGGTTTACCGTCCCATCAATATTTAGACCGAGCTCAAGCACATCATGATGCAACTGAAGTGAAATGTGATAATGGCAGTATTATTCAAGCATGTTTCAGGACTGAACAGGGAAAAGATTAGAGTGATTAAAGACGAGACGCTCATAGAAACTGCCCCAGAAAATTACACAACCCTACCTGTCTTCTTTGATGCGTGCCAGCAGGGGCTCCAGCCAGCCCACAGTACACTCGCAGTGAGCGTCCAGGAAGGTGATGACCTGACCTTTGGTAGCGGCCGCTCCCCTGAGCCTGGCTCTGATCAGACCTGAACGCTGCTCCATCCTCAGGATCCTCACCGGCACCTCCAGAGTGCGCACATAGTTCTCCAGCTTCTTCTTCAGGAAGTCTGAGAGAAAACAACAGACACAAAAAATATGTAATCAAGAGCAGATTAACGCAGACAGAGCTGAACGAATAGGTTCATTTCTCTATGAGTCAATCAACTGAAACATTTATAAATTGAATTTGTGATTTTCAGAAATATTGTTGACAAAAATGCCAAAACATTCCCCGGTTAAGGATTCTGAAATACTTGCTAGTTTGAACTGTTGAAAGGGCAAAACAAGAAAACTAAATGAGTCAATTTAGGCTTTTTGAAACAAGTAAATCTATCATTACGATCCCTATTTTCTGGCATATGTTGGACAAAATGGTTAATATATATCCTTTATTCAACCAGGTAAAAATTAAGCTAATACTCTGAATATATAATAGGCTGATTAATCCCAAACAAAAACAGTTGTTATTTGATACTACATTTTGATCAGATCCGTCTATTTATTGTCACCACAGCTTTTTATAGTAGTAAAAAATATATAGTGTTAATTGTTTCTTATATTAAGAGTTTGGTTGTATATTCAGTTTTGTTTTACCAGTATCCTTGAATACAGAGTTAAATATGTGACTTTAGCAGATACTGTATCAGACAGTAACTATAGGTTACTTACGTAACCCCAGTTCTCACTCAGAGTAACATGAAGTGATCTCACTATGGGATGCGCCTCATCGCGGAGCAAACAGAAGCATCAATCTCATTACGCCAATCCTGATTGGCTGGTGATCTTGACGTCAGCGTCAGGGAATTCACCCCCTATAAGTAGCTTGCGCCACGACGCATGCGTCATTCAAAATAAGCACCTCTTCTCGCTTCACCATAGCAAGGAGGGCCATCTGGTGAGACATCTCACTTCATGTTACTCTGAGAACTGGGGTTACGTAAGTAACCTATAGTTCTCATTCATAACACTCCGTTCGATGTCTCACTATGGGAAATTGTAGCTCCCGTATTGTCAGACGAGCTTATCTCGAAAATCACCAAACCAACCAGAACTTAACAGGTAGAGCTCTGACTCAACCAGGTGCCCAGCACTGCTTGAGTCACACTGGGAGCAGAACGTCCAGCCTGTTAAGAGGCGGACAAAAGTGAGCGGCGAGGACCAGCTCGCCGCTGCACCAATGTCTTTGATGGGAGACATCCTGGACAGAGCCCAGGATGCAGCCAGACCCTGAGTCGAAAGAGCTCGCGGACCCGAGGGTGCCTGCGAACTCTGACTCGTATGAGCCCCAAAGAAATTGCTTCCACAAACCAGTGGGAGAGCCGTTGCTTAGTAACAGGCTTGCCCTTATAAGGGTTAGCCCAGGACACAAGGGGTTGGTCATTATGACGAAGCACCCTTGATCTGTCCCTGTACGTGCGTACAGCACGGGCTGGACACGGCAAATCCGGCCGCTGTTCCCCGGAGGAATACAGTGAATACAGGATGCCTCAATGTCAAATGTGGTACCTGAACCAACCGCCTTAAGATAAAGGCAGGGTTGGGCTTCAACCACACTCTGTTTGCCCTGGGGCGAACTGAGTGCATGAAGACTGTACAGATAGTGCATGAGTGCCACTGGCTCGCTTGGCAGCTGCCAGGGTCAGCTTCATGTCACACTGTATTCAGATTGTACCACTCACGGGCCAGGCCCATAGAGCCAAGCGCTCTGGGTGTGGGTGAAAGATCGCCCCCCCCCGCTTGGGACAGTATGTCCCTGCGTAGTGGGAGCTGCCATGGCTGCCCGCACAGCAGCTGATATATCTCCGCTAGCCAGTACATAGCTGGCCAGTGCGGAGCTATCAGGATAAGTGTGTGGCGTTGCTCTCTCACTCTGGCCAGAATTGGGGGTATCAGAGCCAGGGGTGGGAACGCGTACAGAAGGCCCGGGGGCCAATCGTGCGCGAGTGCATCCACGCCTAACGGTGCATTTAGATCGCGCATCGAAAAGAACAGCTGACACTGAGCGTTGTCTTTCGATGCGAACAGATCCACCGCGGCTCTGCCGTAACGCACCCACAGCTGGCTCACAATCCTTGGATGTAGAGTCCAGTCTGCATAAAGTGGTATACCTCTGGACAGTAGATCTGCCCCGAGGTTCATCACTCCCGGTACGTGCGTCGCTCTCAGAGAGAGGAGACGTCTACCGCTCCATAGGATCAGTTTGCGCGCCAGTGTGTGTAACTGGAGAGAACGCAAACCCCCTTGGCGGTTAATATACGATATTGTGGTCGTATTGTCTGTCCTCACGAGGACGTGATGTCCCCTGAGGAAAGGCAGAAAGCGTTTTAGGGTGAGAAACACCGCTAAAAGCTCCAGGTAATTTATGTGCGCCCGCTGGAGGTCTCTGCTCCAGAGACCCCTCACCGGGCGACCTTCATAAATACCTCCCCAACCTGTCAGACATGCGTCCGTGGTGACCACTTTCCGTGAAAGGACAGCACCCATAGGCACACCTCGTACTAGAAAAGTCGGGTGCAGCCAGTGGCGCAGTGCCATTACGCATTTCACAGTAACCATCACTCTAGGTTTAGTTTTAGGGCGGCCACCCAGCGCTGAAACTCCCTCATGTGTAAGCATCCCAGTCGTACGACCAGGATGGCTGACGCCATGAGCCCCAGCAATCGCAGGCATGATCTGAAGAGAACATGTTTGCGCAGCTGGAAAAGAGCGAGACAAGCTCTGAAAGCTTTCACTCTTTCCGCTGACAAGCGAGCTGAAAAGGGCACCGAGTTCAGGTGTAAACCCAGGAAGAGTATAGTCTGCGCGGGGCACAACATGCTCTTCTCTGTGTTTATTATGAAACCCAGGTTGAGCAGGTGCTTTACGAGGACATTTGTCTGCGTAACAGCTTCCTGCTCCGACTGTGCGAGAAGCAGCCAGTCGTCCAGGTAGGTCGCCAGGCGAATACCCTGTTGTCTTAACGGGGCTATCGCGGCTTCCGTACATCGTACAAACACCCTTGGACTGAGAGACAGACCGAAGGGGAGTACTCTGTATTCATAACAGATCCCCTGAAATGCGAATCTCAGATATTTCCTGTGTGGGTAATATACTGGGATGTGAAAATACGCATCTTTCAGGTCGACTGATGTAAACCAGTCGTCTTGTCGCACGAGCCGCAGCAGAGATGTGTGAGTGAGCATTCTGAACTTATATCTTTTTAGATATTTGTTCAGAGCCCTCAAATCAAGTATTGGCCGAATTCCGTTCCCTCCCCGTTTGGGAACGAGGAAGTACTTGGAATAGAAGCCGCCCTGACTCTGCTCGGCGGGTACAATAGATATAGCTCTCTTTTCTAGGAGTGAGAGAATCTCTCTCTCCAGAATATGGGCTGACTCTCCTCGGGCCTGCGAATGCAGAATGCCCGAGAAGCGAGGGGGAGTGACAGTGAATTGGAGTCTGTAGCCCCGTGTTACTGTCTTGAAAACCCAAGCAGATGATGTGAGCATCTTCCACTGCATGCTCCTTAGAGCCAGTGGAGATGTCACATCTCTTCCCCTCTGAGTCTCTATTTGTTGTGTTATGGGGCCCTCTAGTGTCTGAACACAGTGGTGCCCCTTTTCGACAATCCCCACCGACACTGCGCATGCGCATGACGGTGGTGCCTTCACAACCCCAGCCGGCACTGCGCATGTGCGTGACGGTGGTGCCTTTAAAGCCCCAGCCGGCACTGCGCATGCGCGTGGCGGTGGTGCCTTCACAGACCCACCTGTAATCCGCCTTTTGAGAGATGCCGTAGCTGCTCTCAGAAGGGGAACAGTTGACGGGCTGTTTATTGGTTTTATTGTTTTTCTTTTCATTTTTTTGAGCTGCGCCCTCGGCCTGAAGCCTGGATGTGTCAGCGGCAAATGTTTTATGACAGAAAAATCAACAAATGTGTGACATGTGTTTGTGCGGACTTGAGGATGGTGTTGAGGCATCTCTCGAGGCGGCGGGAACACATTTAGAGCTGGGGAACCGTGGACTTCCAGCTCTGTCACAGAGGGGAGAAGGAGGGGCTGTCACGCCGCTCGCTTCTTCTTCCTCGACGCTGGCCGAAATTCTGGGTTGGCTGCGCCTGAGCTGCAGCCGGAACCGGAGATTTTCTAGGCCAGCTCGCCCTCGTCTCCAGCCTGGGCTGGGGACTCGGGGCGGGCTGCGACCTCTGCGTCTTCGGTGTTTTAAACTGAGCCGGGTTCGAGGCAGCTTGGGCGAAGGACTGCTGCTGCGAAGGCAGCGGCTGGACCCTTCGAGGGAGGCAGAGGTGAAGTGCCTCGTCCTCCTTCTTTTTCGACTCACACCTCCTTTGCATGGAGGCGAGAGCGGAGCCGAAAATTCCCTCGGGAACGATGGGCATATCCAGCACATCCTCCTTTTCCCGGTCTGGGAGGTTGGTGAGGTTGAGCCATCTCGCTCTTTCCTGCACCACCATGATCCCCATTGCCTTGCCCGTGGCCTGGACGGCGCAGCGTTGGACACGGAGACAAATGTCCGTGACCGCTGCCATCTCGTCCAGAGTGGCTTCCCCCGGGTTACCCGACAGGTCCTCGCAGAGCTCCGCTTGGTAAGCGGTTAGCAGCGAGGACACATTCAGGGCCCTGGCGGACAAAGCTGCGGCTTTGTAGGACCGTTCAGTCATTGTGGACTGAAATCGGTCCGACTTTGCTGGCAGCGTGGGGTTCCTGCTTGGTGACGGACCCATCCTCGGTAGGCCCGGAGGTGGGCCGCTACCAGCGGTTCCATGGGCGGTATGCGGAGCAGGCCGAGCTTCTCCATTCCGTCACAGTCTAGGGAGGAGGCACCCTGGATTGGGACCTTGTTGCTGAAGGGCCGGTCTCTCCACGAGACCGACACCTCATCCAACATCTCCGGGAAGACCGGAAGGAGTTGCCTCTTCGTCCGCGCTGCTTGGGGAAAATGTTTCCCTTCGTAGCGGGACCTGGAGGTCTCCTTGGCCATTTCAGGCCACGGGATGTCGAATCTGGCCGCGGCGCGTTTACACATGGCCTGCAGGTCCATGCTCAGACAGGGCGAAGCTGGTGTGCTATCGCCCGGGAGAGCAGCCTGAGCCGATGACATGAAGATGTCCTCTTCATGTTCATCCGACTCGGACAGGAGGAACACCGAGGCGTCCTCTTCGTCCTCATCGTAGTCCAGCTCGAGGACATCCTCCGCGGGTGAGACCATGATGAGGTCTAACCGGGAGCCCCAGCTCGGTAAAGCGTGGAGTCCCGTTCCCGCGTGTCTTGCCGTCACCGGGTCCCGGCCTGCCAGGGCGCGGGATTCCGGTTCTGCAGCCATCGCAGATAATGAGCCCCAGACCGACACGGAGAGGGGTTCACTCTCTGCGACGGACGCCCCCGCGTCTTGACTTCCGGCCGGCAGGTCAGTGGACATGGGGGGGGTCCTGCTCCGACAGGCTAGCTTGGCGTTCTAGCCGTCGGCGGAGGCTCTTCACGGTGAAGCGGACACAATGTCCGCACGAGCCGGGGTTGTCGATAGCGCCTCGGGCGTGTTCCAGCCCGAGGCAGGACGAGCAGACCTGGTGTGTGTCTGTGCCCGAGATCTTCAACCCGCAGCCGCAGAGTCGAGCCACCGAGTCCCTGACTCCTCTGGTGTGAGGGAGAGAGGCGTCCATCTTGTTCGCCTCGTGGCGTGGAGAGGATCCGCTCTCAACAGGTAAGTTGGGAGAAAAAAGGTGTTACCACCCTGTCCTTAATCCGAAGAAAAGGACGGTGTGGGTCTTTTATTCCCGGAGAATACTGACTGGTGTGACAGTATGCTCCTTTAATTCTTTCCTCCTCCGTGGGGAAGAGAAAAGAAAAAGCTTCCTCGCTACCGTGGTGTCGATAGTGAAAAAATCAGACCTACCTTACTTTCCGGGGAAAGAGAACGGCGAGGTCGATTTTAATACTAACTGGCGTTAGTATTACCGTCTTCTTGCGAAGCAGAAGGAGTAGCCGGCGAGCGCCCGTCGACCGAAATGGTTATATTTGGGTTCAGTCTGTGGACCGTTAAGCTTGTCCGGCTACTATAGAGATGTGCTCTGAAGCGAGAAGAGGTGTTTGAATGACGCATGCGTCGTGGCGCAAGCTACTTTAGGGGGTGAATTCCCTGACGCTGACGTCAAGATCACCAGCCAATCAGGATTGGCGTAATGAGATTGATGCTTCTGTTTGCTCCGCGATGAGGCGCATCCCATAGTGAGACATCGAACGGAGTGTTATGAATGAGAACTAGTAGAGTGTAGATTACCAACCTCGCTCGCTGGCGTCGTCCACAAGCACGATCTCCGCCAACAGCTGTCTGGGCGAGCGGTTGATGACACTGTGAACCGTCCGCAGCAGGGTGCTCCACGCCTCGTTGTGAAACACGATGACAATGCTGGTGTTCGGCAGGTCGTCTGGGTACAGCTTCGTCTTACAGCTGAGGAAGCAACAGAAAGAAAAGTAAATCAGTTTAAGTGAACATGTTGAGAATTTTACATCACTGAAATCATTTCCTGTAGTATGCTGCCTAGAGTGCCACATTTCAAGACCCTGTAGAGTTTTAGGCAATGATATATTTTGTATTTTTTAGTATTTTCTTTATATATGTAAATAAACTATAACCAGCTGGTTTGAAGGGGGATGCGACACCCCTTGTTATCAAAATGACCAAAATGCATTTCTCTTGTTAACCTGCCCTCTGCCTCACCATGTAGCAGAGAGAGTGCAGGATGAGAGGGGCTGTTTAGTTTAATATTTTTAGTTTAGTCAGTCCCATCTCATTGATCCTATATCTGACTGAGGTTTTTGTAAGTTAGAATACTGTGGCTCTGAAACAACTTACTGTGCTGTGTATCGATAAATCCATGGAGCTGTCTGTGGTGCTGAAGTAGTAGAGGGATTTGGAATCACTAAACCTAAAATATACCCGTTCTGAATTTGGTAGTCTAAGACAACACTGCTGTTTCCAAACTGCTGTCACAGTGGTTCTTTATACCCGCAGCTCTGTATTCTATGAAAAGTGAGTGAGAATCTGAAGGTTTCCTGCCCTATCCAATGCTGCCATCAGTGCAAAAATCTTGTCATAGGAGATTCACTGACAAATATCTCTAAGCAGTAGAAAAAGTAAAACCTGTGTTGACAGCAATGTCAGCAGATCCTCATCTTGATGGGTTGTCTGTCATAGCTTTAGAGTGAAATTGTTTTGAACTTGGGACGACACAGAAGTGGATGATGTTGAATAAAGAAGTACAGAAGTGGAAAAAGTGGACTGCCAGGACAGGAGGAGGGTAGGGGGAGGTGACGCAGGGTGAAAGAAGCCATCGGAGCAGACAACATTTCTAGCTCAGTCCTGTCGAATCAAAGTGACAGCGTACGCCGTAGACTGACACAACTAGGCCAGGAGGGTGCCTTCAAGGCATAGTGTTATCGCCGTTCAGACGCAACGACTGCCAACTCTGCATGACTCCGGATCATTTTCCCCACACACCTGGAGACATTTTGCAAAGCTAAGCTGAGTTCTGTAAGAAACCTGCTGTGAAATGTATACTGAGTGAAGGATGGAGCCATAATGGACAGAAACAAAAGTGTTGCAATAAGCTGAGTGTTCACCTTTTCTCAGTAAATGAGGTCTTCTTTTGCTAGATGCAAGCAATCTCCACTCCATCTTATAATTTGTGTTTTCTTGGTTAGACAAGAATTGCATTAAAAACTGTGGAACTGTGAGAAAAAATAAAATGTTGTGGCTTGCTTTTCATGGTGTTTCTAACTGGCAGAACCTTTTGCATTCAATTAATGAAAGTGCTGAGGAGAACTGGTGTTCACTTGGAATATTTGAACATGAATCACTCGGATAATGTTTCTACGAGAGGTGAATGACGCTGCATATCATCAGCCTGAGATTAATGGGCTCATGTTTCAAACAAATTACTCCTTGGATTTTCATTAAGTGCTCAAGTGGATCTTGAGTGACAGTAAACAGTCCAATTCAAATGTCAGACATAATGGTCAAACCTGAGGGATCTGATGGACTCTGCATTGAAACAGTGCCCATAATTAGAGATGCCTATCCACATTAGATAGAGTTATTAACACCAATAACATCTCATAAAAAAACAGTTTAAGTTGAATTATTTAATCATTAGAATAACATTGTTTTGATAGTTTAGAGCATTTTATCTGCATCACTTGAGAGACTCTTGATCAGAGACAGATCCCTGCACTTCTGAATACTGAAGACTGAACAATTTCCATTTAACCTGGAATACAACTCTACCCACATTAAAGACTAAAATCCAAAGAAATAAGCAGAAAGCATCAGTCAGAAACTACTGTGCCTTGCAATGGGTAACAAAGGAACAATGATTGCAGGAAGCGAAGAAGCAGGTTGAGGGTTGTGTATTGCTGTTCTGTGGATATGTGGATATGTGTGTGTGTGTGTGTGTGTGTGTGTGTGTGTGTGTGTGTGTGTGTGTGTGTGTGTGTGTGTGTGTGTGTGTGTGTGTGTGTGTGTGTGTGTGTTTTAAAGTGTCATTAGTTGTGTTTGCAAAATAGATCTGGAAGACTAGCTTACGCACCCGTCCAGCCTCACGTCAGGCAGACTCCTGTTGAGTGCGATCATGTCGCTGGCCATCAGGTTGAACTGGTTAATCTTAAAGAGCTCCTTCATTTTCTCCTGGTCGTTCTTGGGAATGTTTACTGCCTTGCCCATTTCGCCTGGGCCCTCGTGGCTCCGAGATATCGCCGCTGTAACAAAGCAGAAGCACAGCAAAAGAATATCTGATGAGAAACCAAACACATTTTTCTTTTACATTACATTGCATTTAGCTGACGCTTTTATCCAAAGCGACTTACAATAAGTGCGTTCGACCAGCAAAATACAAACTTGAAGAAAACAGAATCATATAAGTACATCAGGTTTCATAGAGCAAAAACATTTCAAGTGCTACTCAACTGGCTTTAGGTAAGCCAGCCCTTTATTAGTATATAAGTGCTTTGTTAATAGTTCTATCGCTCGAAGTGAAGTCGAAAGAGATGAGTTTTCAGTCTGCGCCGGAAGGTGTGTAAGCTATCTACTGTCCTGATGTCAATGGGGAGCTCATTCCACCATTTTGGAGCCAGGATAGCAAACCCACGTGTTTTTGCTGATGGGAACTTGGGTCCCCTTCGCAGCGAGGGTGCAGCGAGGGTGCAGCGAGGGTGCAGCGAGCCGTTTGGTTGATGCAGAGCGGAGTGCACGTGCTGTGGTGTACGGTTTAACCATGTCCTGGATGTAGGAAGGGCCAGATCCATTCGCAGCATGGTACGCAAATACCATTGTCTTGAAGTGGATTCTAGCAGTTACCGGAAGCCAGTGGAGGGAGCGGAGTTCTCAATAAGGAAGGTGAGGAGTTAATATCAAACAGCATTTGTATTAAATCACTTTGTCCTGTATATACAGTCCATCTTTGATAAGGAAACAATCTGAGAAGAACCAATATGTTGTGAAAGCCCACTTTATTACAAAGGCTCCACATCTCCTGTGTAAATGGGGCTCTGAGTAATAAGTACTGACTGACCTCCGTGACCACAGGCTGTTGGCAGAGCGCCCTGTTCAGACCAGTGGAGAGAAAAGTTGTTGTGGTTTTTTCAAGAACTTGTGTTTGGCAGTATTCGACTAAAGACATTTTTAGTCAACCAACACTCGAAATGATTTTGTCTGCAAATCCAGTAATAATAATAATAATAAATTATATTTATATAGCGCCTTTCAAGGGACCCAAGGTCGCTGTACATGGTGGACAAACAAAACAAACAGACAATCAAAGGGCAAACAAAAAATAAAGGAAGCCGGGGGACCAGGAACGGGCTAGGGCCCGAAGGCCAGGGTGAACAGGTGTGTTTTTAATGATGATTTGAAGATGTCCAGGGAGGCAGCATTACGGATCTCGGCAGGAAGTGCATTCCAGAGAGTGGGGGCCGCAACACTGAACGCCCTGTCACCAACAGTTCGGAGGCGAGAGCGGGAGATGGAGAGTAGGCCCGTGTCTGAGGACCGCAGACCCCGAGAAGGGGTGTAGGGATGGAGGAGGTCCGATAAGTACTGGGGGGCGAGGGTATGGAGGGACTTGTACGTGAGGAGGAGTGTTTTGTAATGAATCCGGGACTTGACCAGCAGCCAGTGTAGGTGGATGAGGGTGGGGGTGATATGTTGCCATGGGTTGGTGCAGGTGAGAAGCCTGGCGGCAGAGTTCTGGACGTATTGGAGCCTGTCCAGGGTTTTGCTGGGAACCCCGGACAGGACTCCATTGCAGTAGTCCAGACGGGATGTGATGAAGGCGTGTACAAGTGTTTCTGCCACAGAGTCAGAGAGTGAAGGCCGGAGTCTGGCAATGTTTTTGAGATAGTAGATGGCGGATTTGATAACAGATTTGATGTGCGCCTGGAAAGAGAGGGTGGTGTCCAGGATGAATCCCAGGTTGCGGACTTCAGTGGACGGGGAGATGGAGCAGCCGTCAATGGAGAGAAGCAGCTCTCCAACCTTCTGGAGCTGCGCCTTGGGAGCCACAATCATGAGCTCTGTTTTATTGCTGTTGATTTTGAGCAGGTTAGATGACATCCAGTTTTTTATGTCCTGTAGGCAGTTGACAAGGGATTGAGGGGGGAGCTGAGTGGACGGTTTGGTGCAGAGATAGAGCTGTGTGTCATCAGCATAAGAGTGAAAGCTGAGACCATGTTGGTGGATGATTTTACCAAGTGGGAGCATGTAGATGGTGAATAGGAGGGGTCCAAGCACAGAGCCTTAAGGTACACCTTGGTTGACTGGTGCCGGAGGGGAGCTGCAGTCACTGCAGTAGTTGCATAAATCGACAGATCTATCCAACTAAACTTCTCAAAAAATAATTGTTCGTCTCATTTTCGAGGCAGAAAGATTGTAAGACATAAAGTATGTAAATGTTGCAATTCTGTATGTTTGTTCTTATGATGTCCAAATAAAAAAAAGTAAAAACAATTGTTCAAAGCACAACATAAAATATTAGTTAACCAAGACCAAAACAAAAAAACATTCATAAACTCAAACAAGGAAGATTGCAAAAGTTGAATCAATAGATTATAAATATAGTGGTGTTTTTGACTACAAATGAAGATTTAATAAATAACATGAGTAGGAGAATTATCAACATCTGCTGGGAAAAAAACAAGTCTCTAATCTTGCCTACCTAAATTGGTCCATGAAAAAAGGGAATGACCTTCAGATACATTCTGAGAAATCCCTTTTATATTGAAAGAATTGGGCATGGTTTATTATCGGTCTCTTTAGGCTCGGGCGAGTGCAGCAAAGCCTGCTAGCTCTATCTCTGTACACTTTGTACATTGTAATTTTCTATACTGGTAAAAAGACAGAGCATAGAGTTTATTTCCTAGATCAATGTGCGTGTACCAAACCCATGTGTTCATTCATGTGCTGCAGCATGTACTGTCAATCAATCAATCAATCAATCAATCAATGTTTATTTATATAGCCCAATATCACAAATGTTACATTTGTCTCAGTGGACTTTACAGTTTGTACAAAATATCAGTATGACAATACGACACCCTCCGTCCTTAGACCCTCACATCGTACAAGGAAAAACTTCCGAAGAAAACCCACAGTTTAAAGGGAAAAATGGGAGAAACCTCAGGGAGAGCAACAGAGGAGGGATCCCTCTCCCAGGACGGACAGACGTGCAATAGATGCCGTGTGTAAATTGAAAAGATAATACATTTGCAACATAGGTAGTCCAAATGTTTGGAAATGCATGTGTGTATAATAGGAAGATGAATCCACGAGGATATCCATCCAGGACCTATGATCCAGGACCACAGCCACGACTCAAGATCCAGGGCTCGCGATCCAGGACAGAGGAGCGCAGGATCATCCATGACTCCGGATCCCGGCGTATATAGACACCAAAAAGAAATACATTTGGGGAAGCTGGGTTAATCGGAACATGAGAGTACACAGGTATAGACAGAGAGAAGGAAGAAGTAAGATGTCCCCCGACAAACTAAGCCTATATCAGCAAAACTAGGGGCTGAATCTAATCAGCCCTAACTATAAGCTTTATCAAAAAGGAAGGTCTTAAGCGCACTCTTAAAAACGGATAGGGTGCCTGCCGCCCGAACACAAACTGGAAGCTGATTCCACAAATATGGAGCTTGATAAGAAAAGGCTCTGGCTCCCATTGTACTTTTAGAGACTCTAGGAACAACCAACAACCCTGCATTCTTGGAACGCAATGCCCTAGTAGGACAGTAGGGTATAATGAGTTCTTTAAGGTAAGATGGCGCCTACCCATTAAGGGCTTTGTAGGCGAGAAGAAGAATTTTAAATTCTATCCTGTGTTCTATAGGGAGCCAGTGTAAGGCAGCCAGAACAGGAGTAATGTGGTCCCTTTTCCTAACTCTGGTTAGTACACGAGCTGCAGCATTTTGAATCAGCTGAAGCGACTTGACTGACTTCTTGGTACACCCTGATAATAAAGAGTTACAATAATCCAGCCTTGAAGTAACAAATGCATGGACTAGTTTCTCTGCATCGTTTTGAGGCAAGATATGCCTGATTTTTGCAATGTTACGTAGATGGAAGTAGGCGGTCCTTGAAATTGATTTTATGTGGGCGTTAAAGGATAAACCCTGATCAAATATAACACCAAGATTCCTTACAGTCTCACTGGAGGCCAAATTAATGCCATCCATAGTTAGTATATCCTTAGATAATTTGTTTCGTAGATTCTTCGGGCCAAGTACAATAACTTCAGTTTTGGTCGTGTTTAACATCAAAAAGTTTAAGGTCATCCACGTTTTTTAAGTCCTTAAGGCAGTCTTGAATTTTATTTAGATGATTAATTTCATCAGGCTTGATTGATAAATATAGTTGAGTATCATCCGCATAACAATGAAAATGTACAGAATTATTCCTTATAATATTGCCTAACGGAAGCATATATAATGTGAACAAAATAGGTCCGAGCACTGAGCCCTGTGGCACTCCATGGCTAACTTTTGTTTGCGTGGAAGATTCATCATTGACACGTACAAACTGAGAGCGTTCAGATAGATAGGACCTAAACCAGCCTAAAGCAGTTCCCTGTATGCCAACTAAGTGCTCTAGTCTTTGCAATAAGATATCATGGTCGATAGTATCAAATGCAGCACTAAGATCGAGCAAAACAAGATTAGAGACAAGTCCCTTGTCAAAGGCTATTAGAATGTCATTTGTGACTTTAACCAGAGCTGTCTCTGTGCTATGATGTGTTCTAAAGCCAGACTGAAAATCTTCAAATAAATCATTGTTTTTTAAGTAATCACACAACTGTTTTGCGACCGCTTTCTCAAGAATTTTTGAGAGGAACAGAAGATTGGAAATAGGTCTATAATTGGCTAAAACCTCTGGATCGAGGTTGTGCTTTTTAAGAAGCGGTTTTATCACTGCTACTTTGAATGATTGTGGAACATAGCCTGATAATAAAGACATATTCATAATATTTAATAAAGAAGTGCTAATTAATGGAAAAACTTCCTTCAACAGCTTAGTTGGAATTGGGTCTAACATACACGTTGATGGTTTAGAAGAGAGAATCATTGAATTATAGGATGAGCACATAATATGAACATCGTATTCCTTTCAATAACACTTACAATAGAAAACATGATGCCATTCTCACCTGTATTGTTAGGCTTTCTCGCACATCGATTGTGTGAAAAATGTGTAATAGAAATGTATGCTTAATCTCTTTTCTGGTATATTGTGCAGTCTAGCAGTAATATTAGATTTAATGTAATCTGTAAAAAGAGATTATACATTTCCAGATCTAGATTAACATATTTATTAGTCGACTTGCTACAGTGTATGCAAGATGATCATGCCTGAAAAACCTCAGCATTGCTGTGGTTTGCTGCTGCTCAGAGCCAGCTCCCATCACCAAGGTAAAAAGCCTCGCACGGATTTATGACTGTGCTCTCTTTAATAATCTCTTAGAGCTGAAGCAATGATTTCCATGGTCCCAGGTTAAGAGGATTCCCTAAGACCTCTCGTGGAGACGGCCGGATTGTAAACCCTCTTCTGATCCTGCTCTTTTGTTTATGGTGCTGCCGACACTCTCCGTTTGGAAACGGGCTTAAATCTGATGGACACAGTTCGAACTCTGAGCTGGATGATTGAACAAAGTGTCCATCAAACACATGCTCGGCCTCTCCAATCCATCAGGCTATAGCTACAGATACACACAACATGTGAATGTTAAAGATGTACTCTAAATCTTACAAGCAAAATCATCCCCTTTACAATTATTGCTTTCACCACAAATCCTAATTCGAAGTGTTATTTTGTGAATTTGTAGAAGACAGTACTTGTGCCTTAAAATTACAGAGGCAAACGATTTCCACAATGGCTTCATATCTGGTGTACAAATGAACTTCATGACTAAGACATGTCGGAAAACATTCTATTTTAACCTACTGATAAAACCAAATGTGATACACGTAACAGTCAAATGTAATATGTTTGCCATTTATGCTGCTCACTGACAACATATTAACGCTGCATGAGGCAACACATTCTTTTTCTTGTAAAAGCTTATAATGATACTTATTTTTACCAGTGTTCTGTACTTATTTCGTTTTTTCACACATTGATGCATCTTTGTAAAATGTTAGTCTAATTATTTCATTTTTTCCCTATCATCTGCCATGTCCCTTTGCTGTTGTAACACTGTAAATGACCCTGCTGTGGGACAAAATAAAGAATATCTGTTTATGACTCTAATTATTAAATCCCGTCTGAAATAACAGAGTAGCTTAGCTCACTCATTATGACTGTGAATGACTATTCATACCCTCAGCACTTTCTACATCTGTGAAATGATACAAACAGTAGGATGAAATATCAAGACTAAAACACATGGATCAGAGGAGCCTTGGGAAACAAACTCTCTGTGGTATTTTCAAGCCAGACACAGTATCCTCCTGACACAGCTCATTCATTATGAAAGATGACCATGAGCATCTGTGACGAAAACAGAAGCTCTTTCTGTCCTCGGGTCATTCAATCCAATTCAATGTCCCTGCCTACAGCTTTATCCCAAGCAATTACACTGAAAAGGTTCTCCTCACGCTCACAGGTAATGAGACTTCTGAGACACAATCACTCGCATTTTAGCGCAGAACAAAAATAGAGTGCTACATGACTCTCTGTTAACCTTTGCTTTATGTGATTCTTCAGATTGTTATTCTCACAAATTAGCAAAACATGTGCAACTCTAGACTCTCCGGCCAACATTAGCAAGTTACAACAAGTTAGCTTTCTCTTTAACAAGATTAATCTTGTTAAGGTGGACTCAGACCTGTCCTCTAGCGCTTTTATCGTAATTTACTTCCAACAAAAAGTAATGGTGCACAGTTTGGAGCTCCATCAAAAGCTTGATCCATTTTATTTTTCCTTCACATTTTACCTCACCTCTTCCCTCTGCTGATCTGCTCCGCTCTCTTATTTCCAGTCGAATGTGGCTAACATTACGTTATATATCAGAAAACCAGAGCAGGACAGGGACAAAATGTCAAGACCATGACCATGCTGCTCTGATGCGCACCTTCACCTTAACTGCAACTAAGACTGGGAAATATGTGAATATATCATCAATATTGTGATATTGGGTTGGATATTGTCTTCATAAACATTTATTCAACTGCTCCTTTCAATCATAAATCACAAAACTGTGACAATGTACTGTAAAAGATTACCAGTAGAAGTCTAATCAATTCTCACAGTGGCTGTAGCTGTCTGAGGGCAAATCTCAGACTGATGTGACATACGGTTAGAACTGCTAAATTGAACAATCCTGTTACAAGAGAGCACAACAAAAAAATACAGTTTTATTATTCTCAGAAGATTAAGACCATAATGAAAATCCAAACCCACCAACACCAAGACAGACCAACAAGAAAATGTAGTACGGTACAGTAGGTGATTTTTTCTAAAGCTGTGTCTATTAAAAGGGACCCTGATGTGTTTTGCATTATAGCATTTGTCGTTCTGTAGAGAGCACCAACAGCGTGAGAAAATAACAATTTGATCGGTCTCTCAGGAGTCAACCAAGTTTATGAGTGTGCAATACTAAATGAGTTACAATGTGGTGCAGAAAGAACAGAGAACTGAATATATTGATGCAGCAGACAAGAACCTGTTGTTACCTGGCAGCATCATTTCCTTTACGTTAAAAAGCAGCACGACTCCAAATGATTTTACCCTAGTATGTCAAGCAAACGTAAAACCTTACATAAACATGAAGAGTAGGAGCAACTGGCCATAAAGTTCCTTATAATCAAACTGAAAAACTCTGACGTTAGGTAAGGGGTGACTGCGCTAATAAGGAATTGAATGCATGCATTCCTTAAAAGGGTCATTATCAACCTGGCAATGACCAGGGCCAGATCATTCACTACCCAAGCATTGATGTTATGGTAATTAGTGTTACCTAACAAAAACACTTAAGTTATAATCAATTTGGGATAAATTGATTCCAATCTCCTCTTGCACTTTTCTTGCATTTTATGTATTTGTACTGCTATGTTGGTAATTTTCATTTTCTTAATGTTTTATGTGAGGGACTGCGGATGTAAAGTAGCTCAAAGCTAAATCTGGCAATTACACTTGGCACACATTTCATGTTTTAAGTGTTCATTAATGTGCAATGTCCCTGCCAAATAAACGAATAAATAAAAATAAATAAAAGTAAATCGAGATGTATTGTCGTCAGTTCTGGGCTGAACAGGATTAAACTAGTAAACAACACATGGAATATTAAAGAAACCAGTGACACTCAGTTCATGTGTTAAGCAAATCATCAAATGGAAGCCGTTTGAAAGTAACACCAATGTACTTTGGACTTTGTTATGGTAATGTAATAAGTCTCAGTAGCTGGCAGTTCACCTCATTCTAACCCTACAAGCAGCTTAGCAAACCTCTGAGCAACCTGCTTATGGCAGGGCATGTGAGGAAATGAACTCCTTAATAGGTAAGGTGGTTTAGTTTGATCATGGAGATCACTTCAAGGTTACAGAGCATACAGGAAAACAAACTAGATTTTTAGATAATCCTGCATTTATGGAATAAATGAATCTCTCCAGCTTATATCTACAAGATTGTTTGATGCCAAACCATATTTATATTCTTAAAAGATCAAAAAAGCAGAAAAAATAAATTAGTTTAAAAAAATGTAACTAATCAGTTAGTTTGTTGTTAGTTATTTTGTTTTTTTTGTCCCCACTCTAATAAACTGGAGTTACACAAATTCACCCAAGTTACAAACTATCCTAATTTCGTGGCCTAATCTTAAAGTAGGTTGTAAATGCAGATGCTGCCTCAAAAGCTAAATATTGTTTCTGAGGAATCTTACAATTTCAACAAACCCTGAATATTTCATAATCTATCTCCAAGTGTCTGCACTGTGAATGGAAGGTGTAGCAGGATATTTGTGGACTCACCTCGCAGGGCCGGGAGCAGCGAGCGGTCTTTCCTGTCATCACATTTGTTACACTCGCTGAAATAGAGCAGCAAGAACACATCCACCAGCACCCACACTAGAGAGGTGGTCAGCACCACCTTACAGTAGAGAAACCGTCGCATAACCTCCCCGGGACGTCAACCAGGACAGCCGAACAAGGGTCGCAGCGAGCACTCAGGAGCACTAGGACTGCTGACGGAGCGTTTGAACTCTGGAGACGGGGTGTGGAAACAGGGAGGAGACGGAGCAGGTCTGACCGAGAGGCGTCATCCTGCAGAAGGGAGCAAACATTCAATCAGAAGCTGTTCTCCTAAATCCAATGACGACAGGAATCATGATCATAATTTGAGTCTCCTGGCTATGATTCTGGATGTACATCATGACGCTCTAAAACAATCAACGCAGGCAGAAACAGGAAGTCAGCAAAATCTATGAGCGACCACATTTAAAGTGGATCAATATTCGTCTCTTGAAAAAGTGATTAGTAATCACTTCCTCTCAGACTTCACATTAATGCAATTCATAGGTATACACCAGGGCTTCTCAAACTCCGGACCAAGGTCCGGATCCGGACCGAACTGCAAATCAATCCGGACCGAACCCTGTGTTATAAAAAATAATAAAAAAATAATAATAATAATAATTTAAAAAAAAAAAAGATTCTGATGTAAATTAAAGTGGACCTATTATGCTATATTGGAAAAAATATATTGTAGGGCCATACCTATACAAATATAGGTCTGTGAAGTTTTTTGCTTAAAATACCAAACAGTTCACCCATTTTAGCCATGTCTCATACTGCTCATACCCCTCTTGTGCAGCCCTGTTAGAGAAACGCGGATTTTGGGTCCTTAGCTTGAAAAAAAAAGAGGAGGCGGAGCTAATGCCTGATCAGAATTCTACCGGAGATAAAGTTAAATTATGTTGTAATAAAACGCCATCCTGTTCTTATCCACATCAAGGATTATTTCTGAAATAGTATGAATCTCAAATGCTTTTTCTCTCGCGGGTTTATCACAAGGTGAGTTCCTTTTTTGATTTCCTGCTTTTTAAAACACATGTGCTCTGCAGTACAGGTTAGCTCTGAGTGATAGCGAGGCTTGCTAATGTAAACAAAGACGAGATTACGTCCAAAACACGTTCAAAACGCGTCAGGCATTGTTTCTGATAGCAATTTTCTGTGGGTCCGCTGCCGATTTGACGTCAGATTGGCAACAAATCTGTATCTGCTCGTTGTACCCCTGTTGTTAAAAGATTTGGGTAGCCTACGGAGGAAAAGAGAGCGGGTTTTATTTTCTGACGCTGCGTGAGTTCCCCGACGCACCGGGGACACATATTTATGTATAAAATACATCACAAAGTGCATTTTGCATGATAGGTCCCCTTTAATGTATATTGTCTGACGCGTTCTGAGAATGAACGTGCATATATTTACTAGTGTGCACGAGTGTCACGTGCATTTAAGTTAACCACAAGTTTACCTTGACTTTCTAATGCTTCTAATGCCATTTTTGCCGAGGTTCAAGGCATTGGCTATATAGTGCCATTTCTCCCACTAGTTCAAGCCATGATACTGTATGTATGTATGTATGTATGTATTGAATGTACATTTTGTTATTTTTATCATCATGCGTCGCTTTCCACCTTCTTCTCCAGTAGGACTCAGATGAGGGTGTTGCACTTTTCTTTTCCTTATACATGTGATGTTTTGGTGTTGTTTTGTTTCTTTCCGTTAACCGTCAAGTGGGAAATAAGTTGGTTTTTTTTGGGTGTTTCTCTTAGTATCCTAAGATACTGTTATGTTTGGCTGTGAAAAAAAAAAAAAAGTATTATTATTATTATTATGAAGGGCAGACCATCTATTTGTATTTATTTGTTTTTTTTAGAAAGGGGCAGGTCACATAAGATGTTATTCTTCTCCCTGCTCCTTTTCGCTCAATGGTAGTCATGTGTTGTGGCAATTATTGTACATTTGGTTTTGCGTACCATGAGCGGGACAAATAAAAATGAAATGAAATGTCTGTGTGTATACAGGGGCGCCGTTTATCGACAGGCAAGTGCTTGGACCAGAAGGGGGCCCCCAAATAAGGTAGATTAATCCAATCCAATCCAACTTTATTTATATAGCAATTTAAAACCTCCTGACCAAAGTACATGCATAGCGCGCCGAAACTGCTTCTTAATTTCAGTTTCGTTGCTCCGCTCCGGGGGTGTGGGGGGGACTTTACTGGCATTGATCCGGACCATTGACCTTGTATAAAATTCACAAGTGGACCTTTAACAAAAAAGTTTGAGTACCCCTGGTATACACTATCAGATGAGATTACAAAGCATTTTCCTATTTTATTTGTTTTTGTAGTTTAGTGGAATATGACATTACACAAAAACGTTAGATAGATAAGACATATCAAAACAGTATACAGTGTTTTACAGAACAAAACAAAGGGAATGAGTAAGATTTACAGTAATACAGATGTGCAGTTTAATTTACAATTTTGGGGAATAACAAATACTATTTGTATACATGTGAAGCAGGAGGACAAAAGAAAAGAGACAGAAGGATATAAAGTGAAAAGAAAAGTGTATACAGAGTAGCAGGTAGGCCTAATCTAAACTGTGTCATTAAAGCAAATACTATACCAGGTACTAAATGGAGAGTTTAAAAAATCTCATAATGGGGGGCACCGCTGGTTAAGGGATTAAGGGTTAAATTATGTTTGTCTGATCCCAGATTGGCCAGATGGGAAAGCTCCACATTGAAAACAGTTGCGCTCACTTTGTCATCAGAAAATTCTGCTTTTGCACATTCATCAAATCACTGTGTGGGCCAACTCAGTTTGTAGTGCCAGCGTAATCCCTGACATCAAGTTTCCTGCATACAAATGATCCCAGTGAGTTCCACTGCAGAGAGGTAAACTGTATTTTGTTTCTATTTTAGGAAAAAGCAAAACAGAAATAGGAATCAGCAGATAACCTGAGTTGAGGTATCAGAATCATATCAGAAGGTGAAGAGGTCGGATCAATGCATCATAGTTGTAACCAAGATGTAAAAGGGCATTTTACAGTTGAAAGTGTACGCAGTGGAATCCCCGTTTAAATATCTCACACACTATGTTTGGCATGTACTGCAATTTATGTCCATTATTGCTCCACAACACCAGTTCCTACATATGTGCTCAAATAGAATCATATTGGGTAATGTACTGGCCCAGAATATTTACCAGTAAAGCTCAAACACACACCTACTTGATAATAATATTGATTATAATAATGCCAACTTTATTTTGTAAAGGTTTGCACTCCAGAAGAGCAGCTATGAGTGGGGTCCACCCAAGGTTTCATTTCTCCTTTTTTTTCCTTTCATAGATTTATTTCATAGTTACTGTTTGCCTTTATTTTAAAAAGGGGGTTAATGGGTGTCATTGCCTCTGGTCATTTTCACGAGGGGTGATGGTCCATTGGAGTACACACCCAACTGCCCATATTAGACTGACCCCCAAGCCCTCCACATTTTCCATGTGAAAGGATGAGTGAATGCTCATTTCCCCCTTTGCCGACTTCTCCCACTTCATCAGTAGAGCTGCTCGGACCATCTGGGAAGCTTTCACACCAGATGCAATTTGTGGAGTCTAGATATCTCATTGGTGTGGAATGTATGCCTCACAATATTTCTGATGAAAAACAACACCATTTTCTGTCAAACAGGATTTGTACTTGAATGAAATGATAGGGTTTTGTTGACTGAAATCCAAAGCTTATGAAAGTACAATCAGAATGGAAGTGGAATGAGGGGGGAGAAATGCATTCAGCCATAGAAATCAAACGCACAAGTACCCAGTAGCCTTATAGGCATTCATAACAGAACTTTAGGCTACAATATAGATCACACAGCCCCTGCACAGGCTCAAAATGTAAGATATACTTTATTGAAATAGGTTTTTGCATACGAGTGTGCACTTATTTGCAAATGCATTAATGGATAGCAACTTTTGCAGCCTTTACATATCCAACTAGTGAAAAAATGCCTGCAGCATATTTTGTGGGAATCTAATGGATTCCCTTATCTTTCTCATACAGAGTGGTAATGATTTTGCACTCAGAACGCACACATTGACCTCTCTGCTCACTGTCTAAATGTCCATCACAGGGTCCGACACCGCTGCCCTGGGCTTACTCTTTTCTCATTCAAAAACAAGGCAGGGTGCGTACGGCTGCATTAAAGATGTCAGACAGAATTCACACAACATTTAATGACTCCTAACCCGAGTAGGTGGACGCAATCCACACTTCCAGTTAATGAGTGTATTCAAGAAAGAAAACGTCTCAGTAAAACTCTGCTGAAATCCGAGTCTGTGTGTAGCATATCACCTCCTCTCACATGGTAGACAGATGATCATTGATGATTCGGTGTGATTCTGTCTGTTTGCATCTCTAACCATCTGCTTTAGTGTGTCAATGACACAGACATGTATGGGTTTGGTACCACCAACTGCGCTGCCAGCAGCTTGCTGGAGTCTCGTCCGAAGAAGTACGAGTCAATTAGTCCGACCATCTGCAAAGAGGAATATTTATTCTCTGCTTTACACCTCTAAAAACAGGTCCCTCATGTCTTGACAAGCCACTTTTCCAGTATATTCAAGGCAAGTGTTATCCACCTGGCATTAATTGCTTTGTGAAGTGACAGTTAATTGTCCCGTTAGCAACTCCTTTTGTTGTGAAATGTCTGTCGCAGGCCTATGAGCTAAATCACAGATTCCTCCTTCAATCAATAGGAGTGCTTGTACATATGCAAATGCCAGACTGTCAACTAATTGGTGTCCAAAGCAATACAACTGAACTTGACTCTGGAACCATGGCAGTAATACGTTTGAAGACAAAGCTGGAAGAAAATACATCAGCCATGACGCAAAATAGCTTTCGGCTGTGGATAATTAAGGGATGGACTTGCTCATGGGTACTTCAGAGGATGGTAGGGATTCAAACCTGCTATCACCAGCATTTTTAGTGTCCCAAGCAGAAAGTGTAGCTGAGTCAGACATCAATACTTTTTGATTGCAGTACAAACTGCACCAAGTGGCATTAAGAACTGGAAACTTGTCAAGACTTAAAATATGGCATTGACTGATCAGTCAACATATACACACACACACACACACACACACACACACACACACACACACACACACACACACACACACACACACACACACACACACACACACACACACACACACACACACACACACACACACACACACACACACACACACACACACACACACACACACACACACACACACACATGCATTAAAAAGAAACCAAAATTAATACTGATATTTTCACATATTTTAAGTACAGATAGCATGACAATACTATAAATAGTAATACTATAAATAGTATTGTTATGTTATTTGTACTAATATCAGGTATTATATTTGCATTGAGTACCATTATTGAAAAATGCAAATCTACACCCAGCACTACAAGGCACAGCCGGTGATTACAGAGCTGATCCCAATAAGCCCATTAAGGCAAATGACTGCTACCTCTATAACCTAAACAAGACAAAAAAAGATTACATTTACCACTGTGGTGGTTTAGTAGGTTTGACTAGGCTATGGGCTATACCCACACAGACTATGACCAATGACTCACGCTACGTTAGCCTATATAATGATTATTACAATCAATGTTGCATGTGACAGAAGTGAGATGGAAAAACTGCAATTTCAAATTACAAAGAACATATTCTCACTGATACAGAGCATGGTAACCTTGATTTTATTTAATGATATAGCTTAAGCACCATCAATACAAATCTACTCTGTCATGGTGTGTAAAACCACGATATTTGTGCCCTATGGGAGGTGGTGGTGATAGAGAATGATGATAGCCTACTCAGTGCTTACCTAAATTATGGATGGAGTGAACCAGTGACCTGTTCCAGGCTCGCTCTCAGGCAACGTGTTGAACGCAGACAACATGAACTAATATACACCAACACTTAATGGCCAAATTCAACTGCGTGAATGGCTCTTGCACACTGACGTCTCGAAACGGCCACTAACCACAGTCCATCTCAGTAAAGAGTAGTCCACAATGCAGTGTGATGGTTTCCATAGGCTAAAGCCTCCCGTGGTACCTGTTTGGACTCCCTGATATGATCTGTCCCTAGTTGCGCCGCAGTAAACCGGCAAACACGACCAGTCTCCATTAATCTTCCCAAGGTGTTTCAAAGCTGATGCGGTCAATGCAACGTAACGTCTTAGTTCGCACCTGTTCTCTGACTGAATAATGTAGCAGTAACAGCACAGGCGAGATGATATTCAGCACAATCTAACCTCAGCTCAGACCGACCTTCAGAAAGCCGCGTCTCTGCTCTCTGATTGGCTGAAAGCGACGTCGCTCATGAAATCCTCTCCAAGTGGACTGTCACGCAGTGGCGGTTCTAGACCAATTTGACTGGGGGGCCAGTTATTTTCTGAGGGGGGCACAATAAATGCAGGACGAAAAAGAGAACTAGACAGTATGAAGTAATTGCGCATAAGAAAACAATGCAATACAATTATTGGTATTTGTTTCAGTACACTTATTTATTTCAGATATATCTTATAGTTATTACTGTTAGCTTCAGCTTAAGTTATAGTACAATTTTTGCACTAACACCATATCATATTTATATAAAAATAAAGGCAATGAACAGTTACATCTCTACTTTACATCTACAATTACACGGATACAATAGTTTAAATCACCTTCAATTATCGTGGTAGTCTCACGAAACGTAGGTTTCAATCAGTCTTTCTTGGATGCAACAGCCTCTGATGATCCGAGATGAAAAATGTTTGTTTTTCAAGCGCTTCAGCCGGACAGTGAAAGTGAGTGCACCGCTCTAATGGGTCCTGAGTGCACCGCTCTAATGGGTCCGACTAGAATGGCGAATAACGTTAGTTCCGTCTATTCCGTCATTCAATAAATCGTGTAATAAATCATACATTTTTCATTTTGTTGCCCCCCCCCTAGAACCGCCCCTGCTGTCACGGGCATCTGGTTAATGTAGGCGCACCCAGCGACCACCGCATACAGCATCTATCACAAAATGTGTAGTTTTTCTGTATACAATTATATATTTGTTATAATGTTACGCTGATTATGTCCATTTAGATTGTGGATTGGGGGAAACCTTCAGTACAGTTATGTTTAAGTTGTTGTTTTTTGGTTTGTAAAATACCTATTGATACTATCGATTACTCAAAACTCAGTTTCAATTGATTTATAGCTTTAAGGAAATATTTAGCTTTAGGTTTAACTTTTTGTATGATTAATAACATCCATGAATCTAGTAATTAAAATAATCCTAATGTTTCTCAAGTATATTTGTATTGTCATTGATCTTAGATTAACTATTCTCACTAAAACACTAACCCAAAGGACTACAATACAAATAATGTATTGTGTTTTATCCTTTGGACAAATATTCTCCGATACAAATCATTTCATAAATGTCTTTCAGTTCTTTCTAGTGTTTTGAGCTCAATAGGACTGTCTGCAAAAAAATAAGTGAAATAAAATAAACGTAAATACAAAAACAGTATTCTGTAAAGTTATTCGCATTCAGGTTAAATCAACACCACAGTGCACGTTTAGCAAATTAAACAGTTTTTTACACTGCAGCTTTTTATGGCAGGCCTTGAGGAAATCGTGTTGAGCATTGCTGCCATCTGCTGTTTATGATGAGAGTTGAATCAGTAGTGTTCCACAGTCTATGATAACTCTGATGTCCTTTCAAAAGTAGCCTACTGTCAAAAACTGTAGATTCACCTTTTAAATAAAGCTCTAATGTATAATTGTAAACAACTATACTACTAAAGCTGAGATGTACAATGTGGTAAATTCACTGTACTAACATTCTAACATTCATAATTGCATGTATGTATGTAGATTAACATGTTCACACGAGACTCAAACAGCGACGTCAGGGATGCAGGAAGGGGGGGGGGGGGGTGCTGAGGGGGCTGCAGCAGGAGAGTTGTAACTGCAACGCCAAAAAGTTCACTGAACAAATCAATACATAGGTTTTATTTTGAGTTTTTGAGTTAGCATTTTAGTGTTAGCAGTCTATAAAAAGCTTCACTATATAAGAGAAAATTATAATGCGGTGTGCTTCTTCTGTTGCTCTGCTATAGAAAAGATGCTCATCAGTGCAGACAAGATCAGGGATGGGAGTTTGGCAGAAAGGCGAAAGGCAGGGGAAACTGGCGAAAGGCAGGGAAAACATTTAGGGAGCATGAGAAGTCCCATCAACACACAGACCGTCAACAAACTGGCAGCATTAAAACGAACACAGATGAATGCACTGCTCTCACAAGCTGTTGCTAAAGACCAAATGACTGTATTTAATATGACGTTATTATACAGGGCCGCCCCTCCCTACACACAGATCACGCAGACCCCTCACGGATGGAGACTCATTTTGCAGAGGGAGCCTCCTCTGAAGCGCAAACGCTACACCTACAGTGTGGCTCCACTAACACCACACCGCCTCACCGCACTGGACTCAAAGCATCCACTAGATGTCAGTGGATGTCTTGGTTTCTCTTTGTTCTAGAGAGAGGGATGAACACCTTGTGTCATTGCTTTGTGCAGCTGGCTAGAACATTAGTTGAACAATATTAACCCTTTCATGCATGAATTATGAAAACTTCAGTCAGGATTTTTTTACCAAGTGTTATTATTGCTCTTGGGGCATGAAAAACAAGATTTGAACTTTAGTTTTTTTTTTAATCTAGTTTTTTCAAATAGATTTGTATATGTCCACTCAGGTGGACAGTATGCGTTCAGGGTTTGAACTGAAGAGATGTACATTTTGAAAAAATGATAAATAAAGATGTGCAAATTTAAAATTACATTATAATAACATAAGTATATTGATTTACGGCCCAAAAAGATATTGCAGATGAAGTATTTTCAAGAATAACCAGGGCCAGGGGCCAATTTGAGGCCCCACGCACAGTTATTTGATGAGTGCTAGTGGAGCCTCGCAGCGGCGAAACCGTGCCACGCCACCCTAATTGCGCCACATAAGCGCATAGGTGCGCCTCAGATGAGGCCCCCCTCCGCAAGGTGTGGCCCCCTCCACAAGGTGAAGCCCCACACAGTCTGCATGATATGCCTGTAGGGAGGGACGGCCCTGGGAACAACAGCAGCAGTACCAGTATGAATTGGAGTTGAAATGTAGCCAGTGATGCATGACGTCCACTGTAGTGGACAGGTTGTTAATCATGATTTCCTGCAAACATAAAATCAATACTTTGATAATTTATGAATGATTCCTTAGTTGTTACTTGATGTCACCACATTTTTGTATACAGGGGACGCTTTCCATAAAAGGATGTGGCTTTCTGTCGTCCATCTTGGTTTAGAGACATGTATCATGCACTTACACTGACTTGGCACTGAGTAGCAGTATGGGATGATGCAATAGGGTCCTATGTAGTGGCTGATGGTGCAACTAGGCAAAAAAATAAATGCATATACAAGAAAACACCTTGAATAGCTGTCCACTGTAGTGACCTCTATGCATGAAACGGTTAAATCATATATTTTTGTTTTGCTGAAATACTGTCTGATGTGCTTACAACACATATCTAAAGAATGTCTTCAACCTCTGCTTGTTGGTCAGCTTTTGTTTTTGCGGCAGTAGTGAAGACAGAAGTTGTTCTCTTCTGACTTGACACAGTAGAAAAAGCACGGATGCAAATAATAAAAAATTAATCATAGCTGAATTATTTTTAGTTGCTTCCGTTAACTTTCAAGGTAAGGTAAGGTGCTTCCTAACTGTCTTACTGGGACACAATAAACTACATATTGTTATTAGTAAAACCTGTGTTTATAAATTGAACAAATGAACACTTGAAACAAAGTAAGCCCTTGATGGGAGGCATTCACGTTTTTTTGTCAAAATCCTGAAAGTGTACCAAAAAGTGTGATTGTGTTTTTTTCCAATTGTGCTACACAATGATTCAATAGCTAGAACAAGTAACAATAAACCAATACAAAAGCTAAAAGCCAATCGATACTAAATAATTCATTATAAAGTCTAAAGATAGTTGCAGATGTTAGATCTTAAAACACAAACAGGACATAATGTACCTCATACAGTAATGCTTCGTTGGACACTCCTGAGACACGTGCGCAGTCTGGTCGTATGGTGGCGCTCGTGCTGTGTCGTGACACTGTCGTCATTTCACTTAAGCGTTTTAACGCAGGCAGCTACTGTCTGGCTACTTACCCGCGGGTTGGGAGGAGTCATTCCGTCCTGAAACTGGCTACAGACCACATGAAATCTCCAGTAATGTGATGCCAAAGCAGCTTGTTAAACTCCCGAAGAGCACTGTCTAACCTGACGGAACTTCTTCAGTTCTGCGCCTCATCAACATCATCTTTACTTTCCACCTGATGACACATTTCTCAGGGATTGTAACAAGGCAAGTTGTTTACTCTTTGGCTCTCGCATCTCTCAAACTCAAAGTTTGACCTTTTTCTAAAAAGTGGAAATGAATAACACCGGGTTCAACCAAACGGAGGGAGGACTGCTCAACAAGACCGAAGAGTTATTCTGCTGCAACTTTTCCTCCGTGGTGACTGATAACGGCTTTGTGCCCGCTGCTCCGGATGAGAGGAGCCTCTTCGTCATGAGGGTGGTCCAGATAGCAGTGATGTGCGTTTTGTCCCTCACGGTGGTCTTTGGCATATTTTTCTTGGGTTGCAACCTTCTCATAAAGTCAGAGGGAATGATCAACTTTTTAGTAACGGACAGGAGACCGTCTAAAGAAACGGAGACAGTTATTGTTGGAGCCTACTGACTGACGAGGACCTTTGTATAAAGATGTTAATCAGATCTGAAGTCCAGTGAAGCCAGATGGAAGAGAAAGCGATCAACAAACAAGACCCTGTTTTCATATTGGTATTTAAAAAACCTCAGAGGTGTCTTACCATGCTGGTGACTGCGGCTTAAAGGTGTTCCGTTAAGTCATTCCTTGAGGCTTTTTAATGCCAACAAAGACTCAATCATCTCCAAGAGGTATAGTGCTTTTTAAGCCTCTTTGTTTATTAAGTATTCAGTCAAGCACTGTTCAGTTGGAGCTACGTATGTCAAGCAGCATCCTCATAAAGTGGCAAAGTCTTCACATTTGCTGCTTCATCAAGCAATTATTGTTTTAAACATTGACTGTATGTTGTATGTGTTTTTGCATACAATATGCAATATATTATTCGATGTATTTATCTTGACTTCCTGGTGTTGACTGTATGAGTTTGGGCGGTGGAGAAAAACATTC